TTCTCTCGAATCGGCTTGGAGTATTTCCTGCCACTCGGCTCTGTCATGCTCTGCCTGAATGCAGTACCATCAATGTGTTTGTACACGTATACTTGAACAGAGTCTTGATATTGCTGCATCAAACGAATAGGGTCTGTTCTAGAGTAACCGCTCAAACATGGATCGAAGGCCTGTGGATGCGCCGGGATGTGAAAGCTGCGCCAGGGAATGCTTGAACTATCCGGACGACGCCGCCTGGCATCCAATTGGGCCTGCAGCGGAGTTTGATCCGAGAGTCGGGACTGTTTCACAGGCTCGCGTAGGGAAAAGCAAGCATAGTTGCTACTAGTATGAATGATACATGGAGCCAGCTTCACGAGAAGTATCAGAGTTTGCGTGGGGGTGCAGAGGTAGCCAGCACATTTGAAGGCGTGCATCGCCTTCAACACCGATGGTGGTGACTGCTCCAATGCTGCCAATTGCATGGTCTACACGGAGCCTGCGACTCAGGGAAGCTTTGAGAGATTTTTGGCGGACATCCGTGTTCAGAAGTGCTGTGTTCGGGGCTGGATGTTCTGCTTTCCTGGAGGCTGGGGACACCCTACTCCCACGAGATCACGCGAGCCTTCACCCGAAAGCCGGAGTCTGCGACTACGACAGCTGGCCCGACCACAGTTACCACCACCAAGGCTTGCCCCAGGGTTGGAAAGGTTCTTCGTTTCAGTCGGGAAGCTTGGTTGCGGGTTTAGCTGGCAAGATTGGAAAGCTGTCAAGCTGAAAGGCTCCGGAGTCTTTCCCTGAGGCCTGGGATTTCGAGCTTGCCATCAGCTGCAGCCCGCAACGCGACAAGGAGCCGATAATGCTCGCATGGTGATGTCTTCAAGCAGGTTGCTCGTGTCGCCGAGTGTTGTAGGGGTCTCCTAGGAGTGTTGTATGAAGTCTCCTATTTTTGCCATGTTAACTACCAGGGCAAAATGATTCTGCACTGCGGGCAGAGTAGGTGCCTTGTCCAGGTGGCCTTCTACAGTGTCGGCGCTGGGACCTGTCAGGCCTGCGGTGCTCCTGATGTGCCAGATGCTCTTTTGAATGTCAAACGGTACGTACCCAGACTCCTTAAGCCCTGCCAGAGAGACCCCTGAACTCAACCCTAGACTCGTCCCCAGACATGGACTCCAGGGGTGTCGAAAGTTTTGCCTCCTGCTGCTTTTGGGGCCGTGGCAGGATGCCCAGGAGCAAGAGGCCACCACTGTGTCGCGGCCCTTGGGTCCAAGAGCAGGCTGCGAGGCGCACTGCGAGGCGAGGACGCCTTTCAAGCATAAGAAGACGTGGAGGCTGTTCGTGGGCCACGGGATAAGAGCCTCCCCTTACTAAACAGGGAGAGCCTATGTTTGTGGTTCTTGAAGGGGGGGCAGACATTCGTGACGCTTCACGAAGGAGAGGTCAGGTCTCCGATGGCCCCCCCCGGAGCATGCTAAAAAGTCGTCTTTGGAGGAGATGTCTGAGTGCTTGGGGTACCTCAGCCACGAGGAGACTTGCAGCTTGTCTCAGCCTCGTTTCAGCCTCCTCACCTATTGATTTCCTGCAGCCTTTAATCGCAGAAAGCTGCTGCCGGCAAAGATCGAAACTTTGGACCGTAATTTGCCCACACTGGAATCGAAGGCAAAGAAAGCAAGTATACTCCTGGATGCTCCCTTAGCAACGTGCCTTTACGTGCCTTTAGAAGCCGGCACGAAGCTCGCTTCTCCTTGGCGCTGCCAAGCCAAGGTACCCTGTACCTCACATCCGCCTTGGACATCCCGGACGGTTGGAGTTGCTGGGCCTGAGAATGTTTAGCTATAGGAAAAAGAAAGGAAGCCCTCATGCTTGAAGCTTCGAGTGGCCCTGAAACACGAGAGTGGAAGCTGGGATCGCGGTCAGACGCACCGCAGGAGCTAGGACACCAACATCTCCTTCTGTTCCACGTCTGCTAGCAGCTAGCATTGTACAAGTTAAGAGAAAAGTTACGTTTGCTGATTTCTGTTGCAGCTGGCCTTTTGAGGTACGCCGTGAGTTAACCTGAAGAGCCTGAACGTACCCTAAAGTAGCAGAGTGTTCCAGCGGCAAGCCCCGCAAAAACTGAAGTTTCTGCAAGCAGTCAAAGCCCCAGAAACCCTGAAGGGAGACCCCCCTCAGTGCGTGGCACACCAGGAACCCTACCAGCTTTGGCTTCAATCTCACCCTAAGAAGTGGCGAAGGGAACAGGCACAAAAGCTCTTAAAAGCAAGCAAAATGAGGGGAGCCCCCCACCCCAAGAAGTGTGCCCAAACCCGAAGAAGCGAAGATCTCCATTGCCGAAACCCTGAGAAGTAAAAAGAATCCATTGCCGAAACCGTGAGAAGAAGGCCTGGAAGCTGGTTCCGACTCTGTGGTCGACATCGCCAAAGGCCTCGGGGGCCGCCTTAGCGGTTTCTGGGGTTGGGGTTTGGGGGGGGTCTTATTGCACAATTGTTATGATTGCAGTATTGAATCTACTGTAGTATTCCACGATTATCGGTACAGTCTTTTCCAGTCGGGTTTAAGATCGCGGGTGCACAAGCGCTCCTCGCCATGTCGGAAGTGCTTGCCTGGGCAGGGTCCGGTGCGCCGGCAGATGCAAAGTGCATGAAGAAAGGCGCAGCCCTCGGTGCTCAAAAAGGCTTCTTTCAAACCCCTGCAGGCTTCCCGGCCGTGTGGATTATGCCATCGTGTTAAAAATCTTCTATTTCTACTAAGCTTTTGTAAAGGCAGATGCTGGGTCAGCAGCCACATGCTTCGCAACATGAATCCGAACAAGGGGAAGGGTGGGCCTGACGAACAACCACATCTCCATCCTCTCGACCACATAAGTGGTCTTCGGCCTCCCATGAGCTCAACTTGTCAAGTGAAAACACGGGTCTCTCAGCAACTTGACACAGCGCAGTTCCGTCTCCCTACTTGCAATTCAACATCCATTTTCAGAATGGCACGGGCTCGCACGAGCCAGGAGCGGGATGTCAGAATCATGCCACCTCAAAAGAAGCGGGGTTGAGCTTGAAGGTAAGCTCTCGTATCAGCCACGTCCTCTCTGTTTGGGTCTGTCCCGTGCAGACTTCGGTGTGGGTAGCTCTGGGTCATTCGAGCTGTAGCAACACTCATGCAGGGTTTGTGGGGTTAGGCTTCATGCGCTGCGGTGTTTGGTTGTGCAGGCTTTGCAGCTCCTCGTTAGTCCTTCCGATTCCTCAAAGGATGGGGTTTTGGATGCGCTTGGGGCGAGTCAGCGGTTCCCAAGGCCTGCGCTACTGTGGCTGGACGCCCAAGCCTGCGACGGGAACTCCTCTGAACTGCGGCAGCTTGGTGTGAGTCCAGGTAGGGTCTGTCATACCCTGTCTTTGATGAGCTCTTTCTGCCTTGATGATCACCGCCCGATGAGGCATGGAACCCGAAACGCTTGCCCCCCCCCCGGAATCCATCCCCAACAACCCCCACGGTCCTGCCTATACCATCATCCTCATGAAAGGAACACCCCAAAAAGCGTACCCCTATTTTCGGACACCAGGTCTCGATACGCCGGACGGAGATGGATGTGGTCACAGCCACTTGGATCTGGCAGCTTTTCAGTTCTTTGCGAGGAACTTTGGGACGTCTTCCAGATGATCGTCCGGCTTTTCACATTGCTAGTATACTCCATCATTGGCAGAGCAGACCTAGCGAAATCGAATGGATCCAACGGCCTCCTTTTCCCGTGGAAGCCGGCCTTTGGGAGTGGGATCTCTGAGCCGGATGTGTTGTGCCTCTCAGGGCCATTGAACCAACACCCTCGAGCTAGAGTAGACAAATCTGTGTCTCATGTTTCTCATCCAGGCATACACAGTTCAGCATGTTCTGATAAGCAACCATGAGATGTGCACGAGGTTCATGCCCCGATATCCTCGCGTGCCAGGCCCTGGGAACTCGTTCACAAAGCTGTAGGTGGCGTAATGCAGGGCTTTAATGCATCCAGCTCTGTCGAACCTGCAAAAAGCACAAACGGAGGTCTTCCGGCACGGCAGCTTGGCACTCCACCCAACTTTCACAGGGTGCCCACTTTGCAGGCGGCATGCGACCGCTGCGGAGGCTGCGCGGGCTTCTCATACCAGGCAGCGTGCATTTCTTCAAAAGGGATTTTGCAACGGTCTCTGCCCACAAAGCTGTTGCTTTGCGAAGAGGCCCTGTCCGACTCCGGAGTCCGCTGCTACATGAAGAGCAGCCTCATGGCTCAAGAGCCGCCTTTTTCTGCGCCGTTTTGATTTCCATCTTCTTCTAAGAAGGGGAGATCGGCCCGAAACGAAGATGCGTTGCTAGACTCGACCAGACCAAGGCTGGGCCCACTCCGGCAGGGCCACTTGACTTCATGCTACCTTCTTTCGTTGAGTTATTAGGGCTGCACAGGGCTGCACCATGCTGCACCTGTCCAGCCGGCCAGCCAAAGCTGTTCATGCACCAGCTGTGTGTATCATTGCAGCACGGCAGCTGAGGATTTCGTGCCCGTGGCACCTGACGCGCATAGTTGGCAGTCCTACGTCAATGCCCGGCACGGTGCCTGTGCTGCGACGCAGAGGTCGAGGGGCCGATGGGCTCCGATGGGCCATACGATTTTCAGGTACTACATCTTATATTGCTATGGGTATCTTTATCATTATTGGGTTGCTTTCTTGATGCTTGGGGATGCTCGTGCTCGAGGCAACTCTTTAGACTCTCCTTGCAGCAACCGGATCAAGCAAGCAACGCAATGCAGGGGTGCCAGTCTTTCGCGGATTTGCGTCCTCTGCACTGAGTACTGAGTACATGTATAGGCAAGTCAATGTAAGCCATCTTCAGTAAAGGGCCGTGTTCTGCGTTAGCACGATCTTCTTGGTGTTGCATGCCAGAACGGTGCACTACTGCGGCTGGACAAAGCAGATCGCCCGATCCGCTGCGACTTGGACCAGAAAAGCATTGCAGAGACTGCCGAGGTGTCCAAGTGGCTCAGTAAGTAATAAGTAGCAATGACCGTAGTCCAAGCTCTGTTAGAAGCATTTGCAGCAACGGCGAAGGTTCCATTGGACTGCGGCCTCCAGTCGCCGGGTGGAGAGGGCTGCAGCAACGAAGCGCTGGGGGCCCCAGAAGCCACTTTCGAGGGGTCCTTGCCCCGCCCAACAGTCCTAGATCCCAGGCCTATGGAGAAGTTGTGCCACCCCTTGGCAGCCGGGGCTCTTTGTGCATTTGCTTTTGTGGGTGCCCAGGTGTCCCGATTTGTCATCCTGCAAGGCGCGGGTGCAGCAGATCCCTTAGGCTTCTTCGGTTTGGACAGTTTTTACTCAAGCTTTGACCAACACACATATTCAGCAAACTTATATCAAAGCCTCGACTTCGTCGGCGAAGAAAGGACTGCAAGGCTGTTCACTCGAATTCCGAAGCTTCGGTTCAGAGAGCTTCTGACCGTTCCCTCCGGGCATCATCGCTGATGAAGCGGAAAGCTGAGGACCAAGATAGGGAGATTTGGCAAAACAACCCTTTGCAGCACGTTTGGCGATTCAGGCGTTGTTTTTGTTTAGGCTTCAAGCGTTCAACACTGAAGGAGGATACGCTGAGCCTGTCATGTCTGTTTTAATTCAAACCCGGGACCCTGCGAGGCACCCCCTCTCTGACATGTTAACCCATGCTGCGCAGGACGCCAATGGGGCGCCACCCTGCAAGAAGACCGAAGCAATGCGCTTTGCGAACAAGATGCTTTTGTGCAAGAGCGAGAGTTTGGAGAGGGTTCTTGATGGTTCCCGGCCTGCGCATGTGCAGATGTTTTTCGTACAGCCGATGCGCCGCGTCCTACAACCCGCTTCCAGCATGTTCGAACCGTACACTTAGCAACTGGCATCCCTTCCACAGCTACCAGAGCTGGAGCATATATATATATATATATGTAAAAAATAAATAAATATATAAATATATACACACACTTATATATATATACATATATATATATATATGTATATATATATACATATATTCTCTCTCTCTGGTTGGTGCTTTGCTGTCCAAGGAAGCTCTTCGTGAAACTCTGCGGACGGGGTGACTTCCTGCCCCGCCGGCGCAGGGTTCAGCTGGTGCGGGAGGCATTTGGCCACAACTTGCCACATGACACACTAAGCGGTCGAAGTGGTTCGGCGAGGGCATGTGCTTGTTAGCAGGAAGATCGAGAAAAGACACCACGAACGAGTAGGCTTTCGCTTCAGGCCCTGGCAGCAACAGCGTCGTGCCCAGGCGCCATAGCTTCAGATGCTTCAGCTTCGTCTTCAAGACGGGTGAACTCATAAACCCCATTCGGTGTCGACTTGGAGCGAAACACGTGGCGATGTTCAGTCACTCCCGGCTACCCCGCTTCTCAGCTGCTAGCATGCTGAAGCACGCACTCTTCCTGCGGAGGCTGTCAGAAACTGCATGCCGAAGGCCGGCAGAGGAAGTTCAAGGTGGGGGAGTCTGCGCCATTGGGGCAAGTCTGCATGAACTCCGAAGGTGCCCCTGTCCAATCAAGTCCCAAGCTTTGAAATTTTTTACAGTCCAAACTCCAGAAACAGAAGCTGGCCAGGACCCCTTCTCAGCAATCGGCGCAGCCCAGCACGAATTCTCCGAGCCGGAGGAGTAGATGAGGGCAGCTAGGTTGCCTCATGTTGCCTCTAATTCCTCTGACATCAAGGACCTTCTTTGTCTGGTCATCTCTTTTACAGCTGTGCGTTGGCTGGTTTGTTTCTCCAGTTTCCTTTTGTTTCTTGCACCAACCCAATCTCTGAAATGGTTGTTCTGCACTTGTCAAGAGGAGAAAGCATGATGGAGGGGTGGTCCGGAAACCCTCAGGTCCAAACGGAGCGATTGGCACTGGGAACCTTGAGATAAGGCGGTTGACAGCTGTTGACCAAAGAAGCTCACTTGTTCACGGAAGCCCCAAAAGAGTTGCAGAGCGAAAAGGTGATCCGGGCCAGGGCTTCCACAAGTCCTGAGGATAAGAGGCGGTGGTTTCCGAAATCAGGGTACCTCGTTAACGTCCTTATTAGAAGGGAATCCTGCTACTTGCGGGTCTAATTTAGGGCCCCCGTATTTTAGAATACCCCCACATTGCACAAGCCTCCCGCAGCGTTGGGAGGAGTGCGATGGCCTGGGCGTCCTGGTGCATGCCCTCGCAAACCAGCGCCTTGGGCAGTAAGAAGTGGCTTCAGACTTTCGGATTGAGTTCTCAAGCCCTGTATCCCTCAACCCTCAACCCTAAACCCTAAACCCTAAACCTTAAGCTCGAAGCCCCAAACCCCAAGCCCTGAGAACCCTGAGCCCTAAGCCCTAAGCCCTAAACCCTAAACCCTAAACCCTAAACCCTGGAAAGCCTGCCGCGAGCCCACAAGGCAGCACCTGCTGAATGCAAGCTGGCAACTCAGCGCATGTGTGTGCAAAGAGTATGGTGGGGGCCTTGTGATCTAAAGCTACATCTCTTCAGACCTCTTGGGAAGTTTAGAGAGTCATGCGCCTGTGTTTGGGTTCGTGCTTGTTCCTCGATTTCTGGGCCTGCTGGGTCCATTTGGGTTTTGGGCATCTGTCCTGACGTCTGCAAGAAGCACAGTATGTTGAGTTTGTTGCTAGCGGCAGTCTTCTGTCGTATGTCTGAGGGTTCGATAACACATTTCACCGTGTCAGGGCAGTAGGGTACAAACGTTTACTGCGGTAACAGGGACAAACTCCATGTTTGCGATGGGAGTTAATGGGCCCTTCAATACGTTCGATGACTGTTTTTATCCAAATTTTTCTGAGCCTGTTATTTGAATTCAGACTTAAGGCCAAGGCATGAATGAATTAGAAAGGATCGCGCATGAATCAGATTTTGCAGAAAAAGAAAGCCGAGAAGCGCATGCGGCGTACTCTCTCATTGAGTTCGCTCTTTCACGTCTTGCTGGGTTGCTGAGGTTGGTACTTCCAAGCTGCCGATTACCTTTGGGAGGCCCAGATATTCTGCTTTCTCTTGCTGGGTCTGCCTTGACGTGGATCATGGCGTGGCGATCAAAACATGGCACAGGGGTGTTCGCATGACGTAAGTACGCAACCATGAACCTCCATGAAGACGCGAAGTCATATAGGTATGCACATACATACATACATACATACATACATACATACATACATACATACATACATACATACATACACATACACATGCACATGCGCATACTCATTCACATACACATACACATACGCATACACATACACACGTACACATGTACACATGTACACACGTACACACGTACACACGTACACACGTACACACGTACACACGTACACACGTACACACATACACACATACACACATACACACAGACACACAGACACACGAACACATACACATATTCATATACATATACATATACATATACATATACACAGACGTATACATACACATACACATACACATACACATACACATACACTTACACTTACACTTACACTTACACGTGCACGTACATGTATACACGTATACATACATACATACATTCATACATACATACATACATACATACATGCATACATGTTTATGCATGGTTTATGTGTGTGTGTATATATATATACATATACATGTGCGTTATGCGTACTGACTGTTATCTTTCTGAAGCAGTACCCAAGTGCACAGGTGCTGGTCGCAGCCGGGGAGGTGCCCGACCCAAAGAACCTGCAGGAGATCGGGGTTTATTGGGGGTTACTGGGGTTTCAAGGGGTTCCTGTGCTAAGTCCCCCATTTTGGGAAGTCTTCGTATGAAGAGATGCAGTGTTGCCGCGAGCACGCTGCATCAAGTCGTCTGTTCGCGCGAGGAGGGATCCGACGAGTTGCGAGACGAGAAGTGCGTACGGCTTTGCGAGGCATCGGGCTACTACGATTTCTCGAGCTCTTCGGACCCTTCAACTTCGCTCATCTAGCTGACCAAGAGCACGCATGAGCGATATGAGTGATATGGAGGTAGTCGATGTTGTTGGTGCCGCTGTTGGCCTCCGCGCATACCACCGGGCGATGGGCCAGGAAGGTGCCACGCAGCCGCTTTGTACTGCTTTATGCACCACTGATTTCTGAGCAAGGGCAGCCGAGCCTGAGCTGCTTTGTCATCCCGCAGGCCCAGAATTGCCAGCGCTGCCTGAGGAGGCGGCGACTTCTTGAGTGCTGAGCTGGCTTCGCATTGCTTGGTGAAGGGGGCTGAAGTTTCCAGCACCATTTGAAGTTGCCCAGTTCTTTCACCGTCCAGAGAAGTAGAAGACAGGACGAGATGCCTTACTTCAAGCGCGTGAGGGACTTTTGCTCCTCCGGACTTTCCTTTGACGACCGGGCATGGGGCCCGCGCTTGGAGGAGCGGCTGCCGTGCTTGCCATGAACGAGTGCAATATGCGGTTATATACTACGGCACATAGTGCACACTGGGGTAAATGAAATCTGATGCACTATGATGTCGGATCATGCATTGTATTTTAACATACAGCAAAAATCTGCAGTATACTGCCATATACTGAAATGTCAAGTGATGTAATGCAGCATTATGGAGTATAGTGCAACAGAATGTACTATACGGTCATATGAGCCACATGCTGTAATGATGTTGTAGTGCAATGTAAGGTTATGCAAGAAAGTGTAACATGATGCACTTTGCATTCAGTGCTCTGGATTGCTTTGGGCGATCGCGGCGGAGGACAAGGACATCAAGGTCGACGTGTACGAGAAGATGGGCTTCTGGGCTCAAGGGGCGTTTGAAGCCCAGGTAACATCATTTGCAGAGGGGCATTGGGACCCATCTCTTTCGCAGCAACGAGCTGCCAGCATCAGAAGACCCGCGTAAGATTCTGGAGAGCTGCCCCCGGCTTGAGGTATGGTGAAATCAGCACCTGTGAAGAGCATCACAAACCCATACGCGCCGGGCAGCAAGTGGGAGCCAGCAGTGACGACCTCCTATGCTCCTTGGAATCAAGAGCTATCGGAGCTGTGAGCGCGGTAGCGTAGGAGTGTACTGCTTGCCTAAGGACTGGTTTCAATGGTCGCAGGTCGCATATCCACCAAACTTGGATTTCTTCCGTGTGCTCGGCAGCTTCGAGAAGGAAGGCAGGGAATGCCGGGTTCCACGCGATAGTTCCAACAGTCCTGGCTTTCAGGGTTCCAGGATCCTGATATATATATATATCAGGATCTGTATATGTATATGTATATGTATATATATGTATATGTATATACATTTATATGTAGATGTAGATGTAGATGTAGATGCAGATGTAGATGTATATATATATATGTATATGTATATGTATATGTATATGTATTTGTATTTGTATATGTATATATACATATATCTAGCCCCCTCATTCGACGCCGTTGCTCGCCACGCGGGAAGGTGCATCGATCAGCCGTGCAGACATGGAAAGCCGCTGGGCCCGCAGATTGTCAAAATGACAGCCGCGTCGGAAAGGGGAGTCGCTCTTTTGTTCTTTGTGTGCTGAACTGGCACGAACTGCGAGCATGTGCATTCAGCTGCTGTTCGACTGCCCTGAACTTGGAACAGCACTCTGGACGAACACTTAGTTTGCAGAAGCCCTTTACAGGCTACCGGTGGTAAAAAGAGCAAAGTTGGGATGCCAGGACAGTTCAGAACATTGGAGTATTGGAACCGCCAATGTGCGTTGCCAAACTTTTATATCTTGCTAACAGAAGACTGCCCTTTGAGAGGTATCGCGTCGGTCTACACTGCTGCTGTCAAGTGCGCGTACTGATTTGACTGGCACGCCTCGCTGAGAGAATCTTGACCAAGCTGCATAGGACCGATAGGAGTGGACAGATGAGTTGGTTTGGGTCCATGATCATGGCAAGCCCCTGTAAGGTTTGGGTATCTTGGGGAGCACAAGTTGACAGCTTCGTGGAGTGCAGCCCGCTTTTGCCATGTGTGCGTGTCTCGTCCTGTGCCCCAAGGATTTCATTCTGACCTTTGGAGGCACGACTTGAGTTAGACTGATCTGCTTGTTTTTTAATCCAGGCCCGTTTTCACGGCAATTGTCAAGCAGCATCCACAAGGAGCACAGCAAGCGATAGGCTATGAGTTCTTAAGCGACATATGTGCACATGCACATGCACGTGCACGTGCACGTGCACATGCACATACACGCATCTGGATCCAGGATAGCTTTAATGTTGGAGTTGGCACAGGTTTTGGGCTCAAGTGGTTTCAGGACCCTATATGAATATGTTTGCCTATATGGATGCCTTTTTTCGACTACATCAAATAAAGTCTCGCTGGCTCTAAACAGCCGACATTGTCGATGCACAAATGATTCAGAAGAACGAAGGAGACGCGCAACAGAGAAATGTATGTTACAAGAGTCGAACTATGAGGAGTATGTAAAACGCAACTTGAAACTGCATAGGAAAAATGATTAAGTTAACACATGAACGACCGCAAGTTGTTTAACTGCGTTCTTCCCTAGAACAGCAACACATCTTGCCAGAGTCCTTCTATGTAACTTAAACTAGTTAAATTCAGTATATTTGAGTTCAATTTAATTCATTTACCTTAATTCAATTAAATTCCATTTCCAATTGTCATTCTGGTCAATGTTTCAAGTGAGGTTGTTCTGGGTCAGATCCAGAAAATGATCCCGATTTCAAGAACACAAATACTTACTTTAAGTTAAGACAGAGATTAGGTCACGCGATCCAAGATTTGCTGCCATGAGGTCGTTATATCTTTCAGCACCTAAGGCCTATGGCCTTCTCCTAAAAAAAACTCGTCCTGAAACAGGAACATACCCAATCGGATAGCTGTCCGAGAACACCCCACAAGACCAAGTGGACCAGTTTTTGAAGCCTAGACATGTCACATGGAGATGAGGTATGCAGATGATTTAGACTGCGACGGATACTTTTTCATTCATTTTTTGACAATGTAAAGGTAGGTATTTGAAAAGCCATTTACAGTAGGTTTAAGAAATGGAAGCCGTTACGCGAAGCTAAAACCTCGTTCATATCACTTACGTTTACGGATAAAGATAGCAACAGGTAGAGCCACATTTCGAAAAAACACAGGCGCCAATGACTGGAACATAGTTGGTCAAATAATGCTTGTACCAAACATATAAAAGCAATTGTAATTATTGAAAAATTGCGATGTTTTATCGCCAGAATGATATAATTTTCAGGAAAATGGGTATTGAAATGCAACGTGCAATCTATTCTGATTATCCTCCCCTATAATGAGACTAACCTAAATCAATGTGAAATGTTTCATCCTAAAAGACCCATCTGATGTATATAAATATAAAAACAGGAGGTACACTAAGTTCATCTTTCCACATACATATACATATACATATACATATACATATACATATACATATACATATACATACACATACACATACACATACACACACACACACATATATATATATACACACACACAGATACGCACACGCATGGGGACGGAGTGGAAAAGAGGGCAGGGAAAGCCCCGAAGCCATTGTACCCCTGAACCTCCTCATAGCCAGTTGGGGAGTTCAAGAGGACTCTCTTTCGGAGCGCTAAGAACTGTCTTAGAGTTCAGGCGCCGCAGCTGATCAGGGTCGTATCCTGATCAACACAGAATGCCAAGTGCTACTGGGACCTGCTGGGGGCCTTAGCCCTTTGGATATAAAAGGAAATGGCCCTGAAGAGTGTCGCGAAATGCACGTACTTGCAAGATATCATAGCCCCACTGTAATTGCTTTTGAGCATTCCCACCTTCCCCAAAAAATCTTCAAAGCACTTGCCAGGCAAGCTGCACAAGGAGGTTGCCCTCATGATCGAGCTGGGAAAGGCAATGGGCAACGAGCGCATGCCAGATGAGCCAGGCCTGGCCCCCTCTTTTTTGGTTGAAAGGGGTTTAAATGGGCACCTAAACCCTGGAAAAGGGGAATAAGCGCCTGCTAGTGATTTGGCAGTTTAAGGCTTCCTCAAGCTTTCCTCCGCAACCTATTCGAACTCTGAGCGCTTGGCTGTCCTGAAGAATCCTGAAAGTCTGGGCTTAACTTCGGCTTGAGAGGCTCCTTCTATCATGGGCGAACGTGGGGACTGAACCAAAAAGCCCACGACATCCCACGCAGCACTGTGCAGGGAAGCCTTCGCCGCGGGAGGAGGTCGACCGCTGCGCCGCGGCACTAAAGGTGCAACGTGGAATCGTAGAGCATTGAAATGGGTGTGCAGGTGCCTTATCACCAAGAAGCTTCGAAGCACAGTCTTCAGACACCGTTGAAGGAATCCTTGAAATGACTTGAACCATCAATGGTTCCAGCAAGCTGTTACACGGGTGACAAGAGACGATTGGCCAACCCGCTTCGAACGCACACCCGAGAGAACTCTTTCTCATGGAAGCGGAACGACCCAAATCTGCCCGGCAGATGGCAGCCGGCGATGAGATCGCTGCCAACGCTGCTGGGGTGGTTGGCCCGACACACTTCTCTGGGTGCCAATGCCGAAGGCTATCTGTCGGGTGTGCTGGAATTGGTGCTGTTAGTCTTGCCAGGTCGCGCTGTTTGCTGCGATCACCATCCCAGCCCCTTGGCAGCAAGTTCATCAAACGCTTATGGGTAAGGATCGTCTGGGTGCTACATCTACAAGATTCTACAAGTCGCTTCAAGCTGAAAGGTGCTAGTCGCACTTTTGTGTGCGTGTGTTGTTTGGCTGCAGGCATGGCATTGCTGGATGTTCTTGGCGAACTGCTTTGCCCGTCGTTGGGTTTGAGATCGCGTCAGGTCCACTTCACCGGTACTGCTCTAGACTTTGAAATCTTCCGGCATGTTGGGTTGATGAGCCTAGAAACGGAATGTTGCATGGGCAGCGTCCTGACCGACGGCGCCTTTCAGAGAACGGGTGTCGTGTTTTTTCAATGTTGTGCGTTGCGGGCCCACATACCCCTCGAGCGTCGTATCGTGTTGCCACAGCCGAACATTGCCGAAGTGTCAAGGTGGACGCGAGTGGCCACAGCAGCCCCGAGTTGGCCAAGTTGCAGCCGGCCAGGGGAGACTTGAGGGGGGACTTTGGGGGGGACTCTAGTCCCGGCCAGCCCGTTGATGCACTGAAGATGCTGTTGCAGGTGATGAACCGGATCGTGCGCTGGGCCAACTGGACGAAGGCTTGCTGCGCAATGTGTGTAGGCATACATGTACCGATGAAGGTCGCGGAGAGATACGCCGAGAGAAAATTTGACAGGGTAGCAGCTTGAATTCAGATGAGCTGTAAGGGGACCTTGACGTGGCAGGGAAGGTGCAAGTATTCAGAGTTCCCAGTTGTCCTTGCCCGCTGCATGGCGTGACCTGAATAAGACATCTAGCACATCCCAGAGGTGGAAGGAGAGACAAGTTTCTGGGCTGAGGGCTTGGTTTTGGAGAAGGTGGAGGGTGCATTCCTGATCTGACCCATAAAGCTATCGAAGCGTTTCGCCAAAGCCGTAGACCTTGATCAGACTGATGTCTTGTACGCTTGCATATCCTGGACAACTGAGCCCCAACCTCTCCTGGCCATTGACAGGCGGTGGTGCGGCCACTGTCGAGCTGCTGTGCGCGAAGAGCGACCACGTAATGCACTGCAAAGGCTTCAGGCGCCCAAAACGCCCTCCCATGCCCCATTTCCTCCAGAGCATACTACCCTGCACTACCCAATGAGCATCCGGATGCAAGATCCAGATGCTCACTTGTGGTCGCCGGAGCAAGGTTCCCTCCCCCGAGCTGCCATGAGAACATTAGCCATGTGTGAGCGAATGACTGGAGCTCTCCGGCATCGGGGCCATGCAAAGGTCGAAAGAGCGATGCGGGGTCTGTAGAGGTCCGGAATGTTGGGCGTTTCTGTTTTTCCAATGCTTTTGGAGTGTACTTGGTGTACAGAAGACTTCCCGGATGCAACTTGGAAGCCCATGAGAGCTCGCCATGGCACGTTTGCAGGCAGTTTTGCGGGGGGGGGGGGGGCTGCTGTTTTACAGTCGTGGGTGGACGTTTTGAGGAAAATTTCTGACGGTCAGACCACATGTTAAGATTTTGTCTCGGGGCCGGCCGAGTGGAAGCAGACGGGGTGGAACGCGTTCCAGCACCCTCATATGTTCACAGTCCGAGAGCCAAAAACAAAAAACTAGAGCTTTATAATTTCTTTCTGATGATCCGATCCACTCTTCTCCCACCTGTGTCGTGGCCCCCATTTTCTTCTCCTAGTGCCATGAAGGCATGTGCAGGGGATCCGGGTGATGTGCCAGAGAATGATTGGAAACCACCTGAATTTCTACTCAGCAACACTTCGCTGGCAGGGGCAACAACTTACGGAGACACCCGCCGGCTGACACCCGGCTCCCAAAGCCTGGCATCTCCAGCTGCTGATGCGGTCTTGGTGGGAAAAGCGCGTGAGCTTACAGCTGTGCGCGCCAAAGCCATTTGAGCTTCTCAAATTTGGGTGCTGAAAAAATCTTCATGCAAGCGCCTCAAGCTGAAGCTTCCCCGAAGAATTTGCCGTGGAGCTCTGGGATCAGGACGATGCAAAGGGGTTATCAGCTCATCCTTAGGGCTAGGTTTGGCCAATGAGTGCAGCTAGCTGCTTCGATAGGTCCATGTTTCGAAGGTCTCTCTTTGTGAGTAGAGTGTCTGTGTGTGTGGGTGGGTGTGGGTGGGTGGGGGTGTGGGTGTGGGTGTGGGTGTGGGTGTGGGTGGGGGTGTGGGTGGGGGTGGGGGTGTGGGTGTGGGTGTGGGTGTGGGTGCGGGTGGGGGTTGGGGGTGTGGGTGTGTGTGTGGGTGTGGGTGTGTGCGTGTGTGTGAGCGATGTTCCATACTCCAGATGCCCTGAAGTTATCGCCTTTGACTTGCCCCTTCGACTCGACCCTAGTGCTGGAAGGCCCGATGCAGTGCCTGCCGGGAGCCAAGTTAGCCACGTTTGCTAAAGTACCCTTCAAACGAACTTTACACGGCACCAAAGTACAACCCCCCGGGGGTTTGCTACTGTAGCGCCCCTACGTTTTCCACCTGTTGCAAAGGCCAGGGATGCGTTGGCTTCGACATCATGGAGCAGGGTAATGGTGGATACAGGCAGACTTGGTGTTCCATGTTCTGTTGCGCAGGTAGGAACAAAGTGCTCACAGCTCGTCATACCCAAGGTGTACTAGCTGTTTAACAACTCAGTCAAGACCTCGCAAATTGCTGGTTGGCGTAGGCGTAGACAGTTTAACTAAGCCAAGTGCAGCCGAGCTAAGCCATGCCAAGACGGTTGCCTCAGTCTGTACTGTGCCCCATCTGGCAGTCGACCATTGAGCATTCTACAATGCAAAAAAATCTTGAGTACTTGGAGCTTGCCCAGAATTTGGACTCCCTGGGGGCCCTACCACTTGACTTCCCCATGCTCTAGTGAGCTCGCCTGGCTTGGATACATGCAGGTGCTGGATGAGATCTGCATGGGAGCATGACACGGACTACCAGCTCAGCAGCCCTAGCATGTTTTTGGTGTGTGATCAGTAACAGCTACTCCCTTTCGACTGTTCCGGATTGGTCGCAGCTATGCTTGAGGTCTCTGCAGCCGTAGATCCGTGAGTGGTCTGTCCGGGTTTAGCGCTCGAAGAGAGAAGGGAACAGAAGGAACGGTCCTAGTCTGCCTTAGAACATGCGTCGTCGCTCTTCATGGATTCCGGCGCTGGTCCTGTGCTACATGTTCACGGCCTTCTTCCCTGGACGACCGCAGGCCTTCGCTAAGGACATCGCCCCCCCGGAGAGTCATCCTCACAGCCACACAGCTCTGATTGTCGCCTCATCCCTGGTCGCTTGCGGCTTGGCCCTTCCCTGGCTCGGTCAGAAGATCCGCGAAGGCAGGGAAGAAGGCAGGATGCGGCGGCTCATTGCGGCGCATCCCTCCTTGGAGAAGGAGCTGCGCGGCATCGCCATGGGTTCAGGGGAGTTGGACAAGTACCCAGAGCTGGCGTCGGACGTGGAGGTAGCGAAGATGGCCGTGGCAAAAGACGGCTACGCCTTGCAGCACGTCCCGGCCTTCCAAAACAACGCCGAGGTGGTGAAGCTGGCCTGCGCCCAGAGCGGCTATGCCCTGCAGTTCGCCAGCCCCGAGCTTCGCTCGGACCGCGAGGTGGTCCTGGCAGCGGTGGCCCAGGTCGCCTACGCCTTTCAGTATGCCTCCGAGGAGATCCGGGGATCCGAGGAAGTGGTGCGCCAAGCCGTGAAGAGCCGCGGGAACTGCTTGGAGTTCGCCTCCGAGGCCTTGCGCAAGAACCGGGACGTGGTCAAAGTCGCGGTCGCGGAGGACGCAAATGCGCTCGGAGGCTCGGGCTGGGTCTTGGCAGCTTGTAGTTTTTGTTGTTCGATGGGTGAATGCACTTGTTGTCTTGTTGAGTTTGTAATTACATTCTGAACCCCTCTACTTTTGACATGGCTACTCTGCTGCTCGCACAAACATCGAGCTCCAACCGAGGATATGCCAGTGAGGACCTGCAGGCTGATCCTGAGCTGCAAAGGGTGGCCGAGAAGGCAGCAGCTCGACGTGCCCGGCAGTGGGCCGTCATATTGTGGGTGGCTAATATCGGCCAAAGGCTGCAACGGATTCGCCTGCTATTCTCCCGGAGCTAGAGCATGATGGAGCATGCTGAAACATGCTGCCCGCGCAAAGCGCGGGTGAGAATGTTGCAACATTTCTCGGACCACAGAGCCGCAGTCCAGGTTTTCCCAGTCCTGCGTGCGGCAGCCCTTTCGATTGAAATACGGATGTTCGCTGCCTCTCCGGCAAACTTTAGTCCTCTTCAACTTGCTTCCCGGACTTCTCCCCCCTGTTGGCACCATTTTCTTGTGGCCATGTTGCCCTACAGCCGTGTTTGTGATGATGTGCCAGGCAATCCGGACAATTCATCTTGGCATCCCTACGTCAACGAAAGAGATTCCCTGTGCAATCAGGCGTGTGATGCTGCGTAGGGTGCTGCAGTAGTCATACACTGCTGCGCCGTTCTCATAGTGCATAGTGCTGGTGCGCAATGTGGTTGATGCAGCTGCTTAAGCTTCTGTAAGGTTTCCTTCATCTAGCTTCGGTTTCTAGCACTGCCTCGTGCATGTCGTTTTACGGTTCACCAGATATGAAACGATGTTCAGCATGGAGCATGGGAGCTGCCAGGAAAGCTGCCACATGGCCAGGTAGCTCTCTCATTCTCATGCTGAAACTCATTTCATACTCTGGCGTAGGTCAGGACAGCCTTGCTCCATAGTCAGAGCACAGCAGGACGCCCGCAACTGGAAAGCGTGCGCAGCTGATTTTACTAGACCTGTTCAGCAGGATCCGAGCCTTCAGCAGATGCGCGGCCAAGTGCTGAAGCATGCTCCTCGCCTGCATCTTGAGAACGTAGAATTGAGCGAAGGCTCCAACATGGGAGGGCAGGCTTGACTCGTACCATGCTTCTCTTGAAGCTTCTGAGGTGGAAAGCCTTCCTGGCCTGAAACAGGAGACGGAAAGATGGGTGTAGTCCTGCTGTGCAATGCTGGGCCTGTGATAAACGGCGATCCATCTCAACTCCAATGAACCAGAGTCGTGGTTCGGTGGGGCAATTCATGGGCCATCATGGGCTGATCTCCAGAGAGTGTGGGACTTGCGCTTCCCCACTCCTCCCACCATTTCCTGAGCCTGAGCCTTTTCAGGACGGAGATGACCGCATCTCCACATGCCTACGGTGCGATCTGGGAGACTGGGGACAGTCCGGAGATTGAACGGGGGACCTCGCTTAGGTTTTCGAGTGCTTCCGACTCATGCTGCTCCCCCTGCCTCCCTTCTCCTTTCCTTCGGAGCTTTCCTGACGCCTCACTTCCTTTGATGTACTTGGAGGTTCATGGTACTTATTAACCAAGTATATGATTGTACTTAGAACCGTTCTATTAGAACCCACTAAAAGAGCCCCTTAAGCGCCTTAATGGGGTTGTAAGTAGCATCGCTGGCCAGGTCGCAGCTGGACCTTCAGATGCTTCCCCGCGGTGCGTGATCCCGGCATGCTTGAAATGCCTTAAGGCACGTCCAGCAGGTTTCGGGGTTTTCTCAGTTTAGGGTTTAGGGTGTAGGGCTTATGGTTATTCAGGGTTTAGGGTTTAGGGTTTAGGGCTTTTCTGGCGCTTCGCGAGGTACACCCTCTATGCAGAAGTCAAGCCCGGGCCATAGAGGAGAGCAAGCTTGTAACTTCAGCTTTCGATGGAGGACACCTTGCAGATCTGCTGTTGCAAAGTTACCTGCTGCTTTGGTTCCCCACATTTTTCCCACTTGCCAACTTAGTTTTTTCATTCTTCCAAGGCTTCGGGACGCTGGCGGCGGCGAAGTCATCAGTTGGGGGGCTTCTTAGCTGGAGTGGACCCTTAGTGATCCAGTAAACTTTAAGTGAACTTACTAACGGTTTCATGGAGGATCACGCGCAGGTTTGGGCTTCTGGCTTGGCGACGGCACGGTTTCAGAGGATTCTTCAGGCACTCGAATGCAGTTTCACAGGGGGGGGCATGGCGAGCCTTGCCCTTCAAGCCCCCTTGCAAGCGTGCATCTTTCAGTCACAAGGCAAATGGTGACGAGGCGCCCGCTTGTGGAGAGGGGTATTCGGCAAGTTGGAGGATGGACTCGGCTTTCTGTTCGGTGGAGGTTTCCTCAACGCACAGTGGGCTCTGCAGACTCTGCTTCGCGTGGCAAGATCGGGTTGCTTGAGACCTTGAGGACCGTTTCTTGAGAGGTTCTTCAGAGGCCGAAGCCCAGGGGAGGGCCCATCCCCAGCACACTCATATCACATGCCCGCGCTCTTGAGAAATGAAGAACAATCCCCCTGGACAGGGTCGTGCTGCCTCGCCATGTCTGAAGGCAGCTTGGGAGTTTGCTTTTGCTGATTTCTGGGTTTTGATGGTGATTGATTTTGTGGGGCTTCGAGAGGCGTAGCCAGCGAATCTTCGGTCAGCATCGCTCCGTGTTTGTCGGCCAGGCGCGCTACTGGGGCCTTGCAGCCACAGAGGCTTCCGCGAACGGCTACTATGAGCCATTGCCTCAAGCGTGGGGGGGGGGGGGGGGGGGGGGCCGTTGCGCATGTCATTTCTTGTTGAAGATTCGGTGTCTGGAGGTATTCTTTGGCACATCTTGGCACCCCAGGCCTTTCTACTTGGACTTCTTCGAGTCAGCAGATGGCACTGGGGAGGCCTTGCCAGCGGACGAGGTGCCGCGCTTGAGTTTCAACGCCTGCTGGGCGTTAGACATGTGCTCGTCCGAGGTTTGATTTCCTTGGCTGGTTTTTGCAAACCGGAATGCAGAGAGGCAGATCGCTCAATCCTACCGAGCTCCAACTCTAGATTTTAAATCCTGAGTCCCGGACCCTGTCGCCCCCAAGTTCACCCGTCAACTTCAGCTGTGCGTGAGTCTTGAAGCATGATTGAACCAGGAACCCGAATTGTGCCTCAGCCGACAGGTTTATGTTCAGGGCCTCATCAGCCCTGGCGTCAAGATCGAGCAGAGCAATCGAGGGCGACACTTCCTTCAGTACAAGCCAAATCAGCTGCAGCCCGAGCGCGGTTGCAACTTCAGATGCTGGGGGGCATGGTCCGGCGTCATGGGAGGGGGAAACCCGGATCGTGAGTAGCGCTGAAAAAGCGTTTGCTCTGGCCTCGGTGTGTTTTAGTTTGTTCTAGCTGCGGCAGAACGTCACGGCTGCTGTTCTCTTCATGTGCCTTTATCAGCACTCTAAAAAGTCCTCACCTTCTTTTTGGTCTGCCAAGTCACAATCGCCCCCTTTGAGCACTGAAAGCTCCCTGCAACTTGGGCAGATGCAATCAGCCGGACTCAGGCAGAACTGGGGCGTGTCTTGGACGGAGCATCAAGTGCCACTGATCTACCGGGACCTCGGCAGTGAGAAGGCAGGTTCACAGCGCAGGGCAAGGCTAAGGCTCCCATTCTCGGGGGATCCGAACCTCAAACTTAAACCTCGACAAATCAAGTCATGACTCATGACCCTCCAGAAAGCTGGAAGGTCATCCGCTCAGCAAGACATGGGGCGCGGCCGAACCACGTGCCCCAGGCATGACCGGGAGCCTTTTCGAGTTTCTGCGTGCTTGATGCAGCATAGAATACTGCGGTTGAAGAGGGCAGGGCAGCTGCTGGGCCCTCAACTTGTCCCTGGAGCCTCAATGCCTTTGGATTCCCCTTGCACCTCGAAGTGCCCTTGCGGGCCCTGGCGCAGGAGGCCCTGATCGTTGCCAGCAACGATGGCATCGTTTGGTACGCGAGGCCGAGACCTCGGAGTGGCCTCGCGGAGCAGTGGGAGACATTCTGAGTGATATTATTGTGGAGCTCAGTCTGCGTGTTTGAGCGCTGGGGCAGCTGATGGGGCCATGTGCCTTGGCGGTCTCGGCTCCTCAGGTTCCGGGCAACCGGTGACTCAGCCCGCGAGCTCATCAACCAGCCAGTGCAATGCAAGGTCACGGGGTTGGGGATTTCGTGATGGCACTCGGCCGGCCCTGCGGTTTTGCCTCAGGACCCACTCTTCGTGCCTGAGCCCGAAGAAGGCTCCGAAGACGAGGCCCAGAAGGGTTTAGACATGTTCAGAGCGGGCCCATGCTGAGACAGCGACGGCGTGATCAGTGCTGCGGAGATCGCAAAACCTCCCCCTCGCTTCAGCTCTTCATGCTTGTCCAAGAGTCAAAGACCCAAGGTCCTGCCCATGCGGAAACACGCCCTGTGGGTTGGTGGAGATTCGGTGCTGCCTGGCAGCATGTGATGTCAGAGGTGGATATGTCATTGCATGACGCAACATGCTCGGTCTGCATGAAGACTCTCAGTCCGGAACCTGAGGAAGAGCTTCTGGGGCAGGAACCCATTTGAGGCAAGGCTCAACAAATCTCTCGTCGATGGAAAGTGGCGGCGACCTCGGAGCATGTTCTTGGTTCTTTCTGCATAGTTTACTTCCAGCACTAAGCGTGGTGCGCAGTCGGCCGTCGCAGGCACAGCATCATGTCAACGTTTGACGGCGTGACGCAGAAACTCTGGGTGACTTGGACAGCCTTGCCAGGGCAGGTTGGAGTTTCATGGTTTACGAGGTTGCGATGAGGCTGGCTGCTCGGATCTGCCTTGGGTCCTACTTACTTGTACGAGGCAGAACGTGCCATCATCTCAGAAGGCAGGTCGCCGAGACCGGGGTTCTCAGACAGCCGAGGTGGACCACACTCTGCTGGCAATGAAGGGTGCCAAGAACTTCCTCAGTACCTCGGGAGAAGTGCTCTACAAGAAGAGTCGATGTCGGTCGGAACAGCCTCTCGGGTGTCTCGGTCGCCGGCGGCCACGACTTGAGGCATTCTCCAGACCTCCAACTTCTGCGCTGCGAGCTAAGAGAGCACATCCGTTTCCTGTGTCATTATGAGGAACCGACAGCCAGTCTTCTAAAAATCTAATCTTCATACCGGAGGCAGCCGTTGCAGATGTAGCTTGAGGTCCTGCGCAGCGCTTGGTTTTTGGCCTCTGCGACAGACCCTTCCACCGATCCGAGGTTGGCTCCCGCGAGGATGGCGAGGAAGCTTTCCCTGGAGAGCTGCGGAACCTCCAGTGCTTCGCCTTCGTCAAGTCTTTACAACCGAGCTGTTGTCAACCTCAAGCTAGTAGGAGGTTGTGGCCGCAAGCTGTGACCTGAATTTGACGAGATGTGTGTCTCATGCGGCCATGCATTGTTGCCTGGCGATGCCTAGGGGCCTTTCAGTGCTGAAGGCTGCGCAAGAAAGTCTTGCAGCAGATGACACAAGTAAAAAACGGAACATCCGTGAACCGAGGATCTTCGCAGAAGCCAAAACGCCAGGCTCTGTTCAGGCTAGGCTTGGACAGAGTGTGGCAACTGGCAACCGCAGATACAAGCAACAAAAAAGCAGAGGGATTGCATTCTCGGTCGGATTTGAAAGCAGCAATCCCTTCGAGTTTCGTGCTCGTGTGAAGTAACATGAGTGGGACCCCCCAAAGGGGCTCATGTTAAGAGGAGTTTGTTGTTCTTGGATTTCACGCCCTTTCACCCTTTTCGTTCCTCCCGCTCCCACTCTCGCTCCCCGAGCGATGGATAGGCCACACCGGCTGCATAGTAAGTATCATTAAGTATCCTTTACAACTTCCGTTTGGGGCTCTGGGCCAGGCCGATATGAATTTGGCGCTGGTAGGGACGAGCAGCATGAGTGCGGAGCCCGGCTGATGCCGTAGTTTCAGTCATTTCCTGTCTTTGCCGCAAGCCCAGCATCGTAGTCATGTAGTCGTTGTCGGCGAGTCGCGAGTCGCGAGATGACGTTTCTTGAGCGAGCATGTTGTTGTGTCGGATGTGGTGCATGATGTGCATTTCGGAGGCTCCACGCTGAACGTCGGAACCGAAGGCGGGTAAAACGGGCCCTTGAGGGGGTTCAGGCTCAAAAGGGGTTTCGGGTGGCTTTGAGCTTGTTTAGGGTCGCGCCTTTGCTATCCTTTTCCTTCTTTCTTTCAGTTGGGCTCCTGAACACCTTCTCAGTTGGGCTCCTGAACACGTTGCAGAGCACAGCGTGTGAGTCTCTCTCTGAAAGGCGCCCTCAACGATGGCTCCTTAGAGTCTCGGGCCATCTCTGCCAGCGGCCTCAGCCAAATGCCTTCCACAATGCGGGCCATGAGAGTCGAGCCGAAATCGAGGCCCTCTAAGCTCTGTTGGAAGTGGGAACACAGGGTTAAGAGCCTCACAGCTTTGTAGCTCTTGGGACGTCTCTCAGCTGGTTGTGTTCTAGCAGCTTTGCAAGCGAACTGATAAGCAGCCCTCAGGAAGACGAATATCCTAGCCTGAAGGGTTTCGGGGAGCCTCCATTCTCGGGGAGGGAAGCCTCCTTGGGCAGCGTACCTTTTCGCCCATTTTGCAGTGCGCTCTTCTCTTTTAGGGGCCAATTTTGGGTGGCTGGCGCTATTGCTTGGTTCGGGCTGTGGTTCGCCTGAGGTTGACGAGAAGAATCCCTGGGTGCAGGTGGATCTGGGCAGTGGCTTTGCTGCCAGCTGTCGTGCAGGGTATTTTAGTATATCAGCACAAGCAGTGTTGTTGCTCTTTGTGTTTCAAAGTTGAACTTATACCCGATAGCTATCATCACAATCATCGCTGCCCAGGTCCCATGCCCATTGGCAGAATCCAGCTCGAGCAGCCCGGTCAATAGGGTAGTCATGTTGTGGACACGGAGATCTTTTTCGCGGTGCTGCTTTCTGATGTGGTGGGGATCGGCATGAAGCCGTCAAAACAGCCCTAAGTCAAGTATCCTTTGACATTCGCATCTACGGTGTCCGCGCCACTCCTGCACTGCTTGAGGAATGTGGATGTGGACCAGTGCGCATCCAGGCTCTTCCTTGGTACAGAGTGCAGCCTGCTGCTCAGCAGGTTCGCGGCTTGTTGGCGGCGTTGTTGAGGGGCTCCCCCAAACTCCCCAACACCACCCTCAGTTCCTCCAGTTCTTTCACAAGGGGGAGCATGTTGGAGATGCGGATGGCCGCACTTTTCGGTCCGTGCTTCTGTCCCGTATGCCTGCACCGAGGCTGGGACTATGACATTGGCCTCTCGGCTGAAAGGTACGAAGAGTGCCGATCAGAGGTTTGTCCGTCAGTGTACCTGCTTGGATCCTTCAGATGCCTGACTCAGGCAACTATTCTGCTGCGGACCAGGGCGCAAACATTGGCATTAGTCTGACGCCCTGTGAAGGCCGCGAGTGAGGGACAGTGTGACAAAGTTTGAAAGGGTTAGTTCGGTGGCCCAAGATGCGATCTGAAGTCCTAAAGTCGCTTGATGCACCCCCCCGACGGCCTCGGCCAGGCGACGTTTGCGGCGGGGTCATCTGCACCCGGATCACGGGCAGCAACCGCAATGGCACCGGGCAAACTTATGCTGGAAACTGCCAGGCTGGATTAGGGTGCTCGAGCAGCGCCAAAGAATGGCAACGATTCCTTGCTCTGGTATTGTATTCTACGGCGCTTGATGTTGCAACGCATGCTAAAGCCATGCACAACCCATGACTTGCGGTATGTTGTAACCCCGCCAGCAGCGAGGGCCGCCACGGACGGTATGTCTACGTCCAGCTTCCTGGGGCAAGTCGCATTCTTGACCTGCGAGAGCTCCGCATCTTCAAGGCACGTCGGCATGGCGTGCAGACTTCAGATCTGGGACGTTCTTTGCGCAGCTTTGTACAGCCTCGCGCAGCTCTGTGCATACTACCCAGCTTGGCATGGCGTAGAGGGATATCGTTGCTTTCAAGATGATGGTCAAGCTGCTGTGCTTGTGGAGACCGTGCTGTGCTGAGACACGGTAGCTCCGTGTGGGGTGGGGGGGTGGAGTCATCAGCGTCAGCGCGTTGTCTAGCAATCCTAAAGTGTTGCAGGCGGCCAGCGCAGCCAGCGTCGGCGAGACGCTGGCTTACTATGGCTATGGGCAACATTGCAAGAAGGAACTCATGCTGGTGAGTTGGGACTCTTCAAGAAGCCGAGGACGGTCCTCTGCGCGGATGGCAGTACCTCCTGCTCAGGAGATGTTTGCTGCCCAGGCGCTTCAATTGTCATCAGTTCTGTGAAGCTTCTGAAGATTCCCTCCAGCTACCATTGCGAGATCCAAAGTTGCGAGCGCGGCAACTGACAGCTTGAGCCTGCAACTAGGTCAACGAAGCACCACAGGCTTTGACTTTGGCCGTTACCACAGTTCTGCGAGAATTGAAGCGCAGGCTTCGAGGCCACTGGCTTCAAGAGTTATCCGTGCCCTTCGGCCCACGACACCTTCATGACGTGCCCTGGACCAACTTCGATGTTCCCGCCTTCGGTTCAAGGCAATTGTGCAATGGGCTTCCGATTCAGACGCAGGCTTTGTGCGTGGCTACTCTTCTCGTATTTTGCACCTGCGCAAGCCGATCCAGCTGCATGTGGGACTTCTTGTGTTTGGGCGGGCTACATGGCAAAGCCCTAGCCTAGCGCGATGAATGTTTGGCCAAGCGGCTTCGTAGTTGGGACTTCTACTACGCGCATCTTCAAGCCCGGGTAAGCAAGAGAGCCCTTGGCCTGTCTAATCCTGGCACTGAAGCACGGCATGCGAGGGTGGATTGGGGATAAGAGAATCGGCAGATCTGGGATGGCATGTGCCTGAGGTGCCAGATCAAGACGAAGGTTACCAATGCCTTGGCCAACGTGCGCCTTCTTGTTTGCCAGCTGAATGATCGCTGAGCTTTACAACGGTGCATCCTGCACATAAACGATGTCTGAAGCTGCAAATGCTCTGGATTCGCATGTCCAGGTGTCACGTCAAGAGTCTGACGACCAACTAGAGGAGACCTCGCTCAACCTGAAATGACTTTGCAGAGTTTCCATCGCAGTCTGCAGTGAAGGTTGTTGCACGTCATCGTTCAACGGTGAGCTTGTGCATCGTAGCCGTGCCTTGCCAGAGAGGGTGTGGGTCCAGGTGTTTGCGAGCAGGGTAAGCGTTGTTCATCAGGAGAACCTCACACTGAACGCCACCGTGGCTGCGGCACCTGAAGGCAGTTCGATCCTCAGAGCTCGGCATCTGGAATTTGGTGAGTCGGTGTAGTTCAGGTCGGCTTGGTACATGTATGACTAACACAGTGCAACAGTTCTACTCACCGATCGCCGGCAACTCAGAACGTGTCTTCGTGCCCATGGATGGCGGCGTGGGCCGCGCTTGCCGCGGAGCACACCCGCAAGACTGGCGAGGCTCCGGGCACTTTCCTGGCAAATCATCTCCCAACGTAGAGATTGGGGCAAATGAGCTGCTTCTCCGAGCATGAGCTCGCCCCCCCCTCCGCTTTCTAACAATCTCTTTCTAACCCACCCCAATACAGCAGATGTTTGACGGTGTGCTGGCGACTGACGTGCGACACAGGCTCTTACGTGGTAAAGCATCGTGGACGCAGCCTGGAAATGTGCAAGCTCATCTGCAGGAGATCGAGTGTGGGGATTCTGACAGATGTTGGACAACCCAAAGGGAAACCGTTCTACGTAACGATCTCGCAGGAGTCATCCGCTTTGCCAGGGCATTGAATACAACGACGCCGCTCAGCGAACAGACCTAGCGCGCTTCCCTCTTTCAAGGCATGCCGGAACCACTTGATCCCTCTGCAGAACCTGTGCCAGACATCTAACAGTAACATGCCACTCTAAAGCGTGCTCGTGCGCTTTGTATCCGAGGACTGCGAGATGTGGGTTCGTGCAGAGGGCATCGGCGACCTGATCTTGTTCAGAATGGTTCTGTTTGTGCTGTTTGCTACTACCCATCTGGTTCATCGTCACACCTTGGGCCGGGTCGAGCCTCCGCCCCCCGCTGTATCATGAGGCGCTTCGGTGGCTTACGAGGGCCAAGCTCGCTTCTCCACGTGCCTGCGCTTAGTCCCGCAGGACCCAGAAGCAGCTCTGGGATGGTTGGGGAATGTTGTTTGGTTTTGGGAAGATCTAGGAAGGGGGACACTTCAGTGAGGCTTGAGTGAGCACACTGGGAGGACCTGGCCCCCGAGACCCGCTTCACCAGCCAGCAGGGCCGCAAGTGCCGAAAGAAGCCCGGACCTTGGCCTCCCTATTCCCATCCTCCCCACATCTGCTCTACGCTTTTCTCGCAACCTTCTTCAGGCCATACACCATGGACCAAGCCGCTGGATGCAACGGCTGGAAAGGCCGAGTTGGGAGTGACGAGCCGAACTTGCGAGGGAGTGCGAGTTCCATCGTCTCGGAGTTGTGCAGTTAGAAGCGAGCACAAGAGACACCGCAGAGTCTGGGCCAGGTTTGACAATCGAAGGCTGCAAGGACTGTCATGGCTAATGTGTTGGGGCTTCTCATGCCGTCCCGACTAAACCAACTGCATGTGCCGGTGCAAGATCCAACACAGTGAGCATGCCTTGCCTCTCACGCATTAACAACAATGTACAACATATAAAGCCATAGGGCAAGCCTCCTGCTGTCTGCTGCCAGAACTCCACGTGCACAACCATCTGGCCTGAGGAGAAGTGTCGCATGAACAGCATCGCAGAGAAGTGCCCAGCGAAGCTTTGCGCAGCTGCCGTCTTCTTCACGTCCCTTAGCTTAAGGGGAGTGGGTGGGCTGGGGGGATCCTCATCGCAGACATCACAGAGACTTGCCATGGATTAGGCCTTTGACCGGTTGACCCAGGAAAAAAACATAAGAAGCCCTTCCACACTTTTGAGAGCTTTTGAGACACTTTGCAGAAGGAGCTCTGGCTTTTGCCACCTCTACGATGACTGCGAGGAAACAGAGCCAGACCGGAGCGCCTTGCTACTCCAGCGGGAGGCTTCCGTGACATTAACTTGGCCATACTATGCATCGTATGATGGAATATTCCGATGCTTCAAAGTCATGGGGTTTCCTGAGTTTTTGTTTCTCCGAGCTCCCGCGCAGGTGACGGCATTGCAGGCATGGCCTGGCCTCGTCGCAAAGGGCGAGGAAGTCAACCTGCTCTTCGCCTTGGTGTTTTTGGGAGGGATGCTCTGGGGACTCTTTTTGGGGACTCTTCTAGGGGGCGCGAAGACGTGGAAAACATGTTTCAGAATGTCTTCAGACCTTTTCCAGTCATTGTCGGGGGCAGCTGCTGCGAGCTGAGCCGTCGTGCTGCTCGGCCCGTTCTCGATCGCCTGTTCATGGTCGTGTCGATCACGCCTCCATGTTGTTATAGAGATTTGAGAACCAAACTATGGTTAAGCTTGCTTTCAAACACCGATGAAATCCTCAATCCTCTCCCAAGCCTTGACATTCACGTCCCAAGCAGCTACTCGTTACCTTGAAGAACCAAAGTGAAGCCCATCCTTCATGCTGGAGTCTCGATTCCTGACCCGTTCGAACATGTCATTCGCATTTCCACGTTTGTTCCCGAAGCCCACGTTCCGGACTGCAGTTTGGGTTTGACTTTATTTGCCAGAGTCTCCTGCAAGCAAGCGAAATTTGTTGCCCCACAGCCCGTTACAAGCTGATAACTTCCGTCTAAGGGTAGGAATGTGGTCCCTCGGGCCCTTGGGTGTTATAGCGTATGTAACGGGTACAGCAGGGTTTCCCATGTAAGGGCGGCCCATACTCGGGACTGCGTTTCTGGCCTTGAGAATCTTGAGGAATCCTGGCATGTTCGACTTCGGCGCGGGTCCTCAGTCGTTCAGCATCCTTGTCGGGCTTTCGAACGTCAAGCTGAAGAAGATTCAAGGCCGGTTGCTTGGGATCGGGGTATGGGCATTGGGGGCATGGCTTCTTCCCGATCATCATAGCTTTCGGATCGTGTTGGGTTTGTGGTGCTGTGGTACAACATTTTTGTAGTCACAGACAGGGCGTGCACTCATTCACGACTACATACCCAGATTACTGATTACTTATGACGCTCTCTCGAGCCGGGGACCGACCATCCTGCTCCGCACGCAAGCCACCGAATTCGAGCACCTCGAGCAGTCCAGCGAGGAGAGCACCCTGAGGGGGAGGAAGTAACGACCGAGACCAACACGAGGGAGTCAACGCTAGAACTGGCAGCCACGCAAAGCTGGGGGCCCTCGTTGATGGGGACCCCGTGCCTCTCCGGGACACCTTGGCCGCGCCACCCTCTTGACCCGAGCTGAAATAGGAAGAGCTCCAGAGAACAGGACACGGCAGTGGGCGGGCCCCCCCCCATGGGGGCTCAGACAGAGCACACGGACCGTGCTGGTCGGCGTGGCCACCCTTCGGAGGGCTAAGCAGTGCAGAGCTTACGAACTCGGTGAAGCGAGCCTTCGTAGAAACTAACACGATGTCATACGCATAAGCCGTACATGTACACACGTATGAGCATCAATAGGATGTCTTGATATCCAATGCGACATGTCACAGGTGTCATAGTCCAATACGAAGCCTTTCCTGGCTCTTTGCCCCCTGCCACCCCTTGTGCTGCGGCAGGTGAAGTGCAGGGCCCCATCCTGAGCAAATTGAGCACAGGACGAGGCCGAGGGGGAGGAACCGTTGAAGCCATGCGCGTTCGGACCCCAAGATTCGATTGAACTGCGCAAGGCCAAAGATACTGGTCGGATGCCCGTGGGTGGGAGTTCGGCGTCATCTACGACAAGAAGCGGGCTACTCATGCGTCTGAGGGAAAAAGTGACAAAGTGCTGAATCTGATACATTGGAATCATTTTGAAACGAGCCAACCACTAAGCCACCTGAAAGCAGCCGCCTGGTGCCTGATGCCTGCAGCAAGGTGCCGATGTCGATTGCTGCGCTTCGTTTTCCGCACAGCCTCCGGTCACACGCTGCCCACTCTGTCAGATAATTTTGAGGGCTCTGTCGGCAGGTCACACAGTTTATGTTGTGAAAGGTCGGAAGACAGTAGGATGGTTTTGTGCACCCCGTATCTGCTCCGGTCCAGTTGAGACAGGCATGCCTTGGAAGGGACATTCATCGAGACTTGTGCTCATATAGAATGTAGCCATGAGCTGAGGTTCTTCGGCTATGGCACAACTCCTCTAACCGGGGCCGAGGCCGAAGCAAAGGGCAATCCCTGTGGACGCACATGACAGAGATATCTAGGCTTGTAACCTGGAATAGTGGTAATCACTGGGGCCGATTTCAAATCATTCTTGTGATTTAAGTGTGTTTTTTTTGTGCTTGGCAAGTGTGAGAAATCTGTACCTGTGCCTGCATGGGGTGTCGAATCTGTGAAAAATCTGTGAAAATGTGCGAAAAATTGTGAAAAATCTGTGAAAGATCTGTGCCTCCCCCTTCTTCCCTCCCCTCTCCCCTCCCCTCTCCCCTGTGTCGACTCCCCTGCCCCCACCCCCCACCCCACAAAAAAGAGAACAGGTCACAAAAAGACACAAACATAGCACAGATTTATCACAGAATCAATTGTGGCCACCTAGCATTTCGCAAAACAAACACAGATAAAACACAAAAAAACATAATTCCGGAAATCCAGTCTTTACCACAAAGTTCAGGCTACTAGTCTGGGCGAGAATATACTGGGCTCTGAATGGGTGCCTTGAGGATGCAGGACACCAGAAGTAAGCCAAACTCCACCTGCAGGCGGATACGAGTTCAGACCCGCATCGAAACTTGCGAGTGTAACCCAAAATTGAAAACTCCTATCTAAGCCCTTGGAGCTTCTTCAAAAGATTTACTCTTGATTTGGCCCAGCCTACCTATGAAACGATCGTGCTGAGTGTACTGAGTGAAGTGTAGGCTCTCGGTTACACACTGGATAGGCTCGCAGCCTGACGTGCAGACTTCTGCTGCTAGCTTTGCCATAAGAAGCCCCTCATCCCGCACGCCCCTGCACCGTACCCCACAATATGGGGTACGGTGAGAGTACATATTATGTACTCTCTTCTCCACTCCTGTACCTTCGAGAGGGCCCTATGGGGGGTGGCGGTGTAGATGTAAACTCCGCCTTGCCAATTTCCCACGCAGCGGCACCTAAGCTTTTGCTCGACACAGGATCCTTCGTTACGTATGGACAGTTCTCCGAATCATGGTCCTTCTTTGGGTACCTTAAAAATTCGTAGCAATAAGGGGCTGTACTACAGTGGCTACTGAGGCGTCGTGGGACCCTAATTTAGAGAACCGCCTGGTGCTGTGCAGGTGGAAGTTGCCATGTCTTTCGACGCCAAGGCTGCTGACAGGGTGAGAGGCATACCTCTGATTCAAGGGTTTGCTTCATGGGGCTTAGGGCAGTTTTGGGATGTTTGGGGTGGCCTTCACGTGACGGAGCCTGTTGTCGGTTGCACTGGTCTGTTGGATGCCATTGGAGCGTCATCAAAGCATGCTAGCGTTGGAGAACTCAGAGATGTGAATCTCCAAGCTCTCTCTTGCGGCATTTCAACTTTGGCTGCAAGAAGCTCCTCCCAAAGCTCCTTGTCTTCTGGTTCCTTGCTGGACTTGGTCCAGGATTTCAAGATCACCATGTGGGTCAATGGCAAAGAGGACGGTAGATCCACTGCCGAACTCGATGCTGCACGTTCCGTTGACTGCAGAAGCCACAAGCCATGCTTCCAAGCCAGCGCCCGAGTTAGCAGGAGAAGGTGGGGCAGCGGCCGCAGTGGTATCGCAACCGCTTCGCCGGCGACTTCTCATCTCGCGCGAAGCTGACGTGCCCATCACCGCAAGCAAGCTAAAGGGTCAAAGGCCAAACTGCCAGGCTTCAGGATCGGTTGAGAGATGGAAGGGCCGTTTCCGAAAGCCGAAAGCCTCCCTGCCGCTCCGAAAGCCTGGTGCCCGAACTCGCTCCCGTGCTTTGAAAAGTCTTTTGGCCCGATGGGATTACGAGATCTGGGTTGCAAGGATCGGACGTCGAAGCGGTGGCTCCTGGCTCTTCGAGGGTCCCTTGGAGTTTGTCACGGCGTGGGGCAGAAGGGAAAGACACCGTAGCTCATTGGACGTTTACCGCTGATCCACCCGCTACCCGGCTACCCCCACCAAGGCCAGCTATTCAATGCGGTTCTGTACCGTGGGGTGCTGGAGGACAAGGCAGGTGGAGTGGTTAAGAGTCTTCATGGCTTCATGGCATGCCTCTCGTTGCTTAGTAGCTTGACGCGGCTCGCACGGTTTCCGTTGCAGCACGCTTGCGTCGTCTCTCGTTGAAGACGCCGGATGCACGGCGCCTTGGGAGGACTTCGCTGGCGTGGAGGTGACGGCTCTGAAGCGCCAGTTTGTGGGAGTTGGCAAGACGCTGAACGACGACTGGATCCAGGCCTGGCACCCTCTCTTATAACCTACAAAATACTACGATCATATGATTATGACTATTACTGATGTTATTAGTACGGTTACTATTTTTCGTTACAATATGATTATATCAGTGTAAACCTGTATGGTACGATATGATCTTATATGATTAGAGACTGTGCTGTGGATTCCCGTTTGGATTCTGTGGATCAGCAAGTTTGACTTCAAAGCTAGGCGCAACGTATGAGAGCAGAAGCTGGGAGTACTCCGTTGTTGCTGGGCAACTATGGTGGTAGCTGTCTCTTGCTTTTTGAGACTCCAGCAAGCAGGCCCGATTAGAGTAGGTGCCAAAATCGAGAGCGGACGATGGGCCCAACCTTGAGCATGCAAAGATTTGCACAGCAAGCGGCTGTGGAGGTGAGGTCGTCCCTACTTGAGAGATCGAAGGCGGGGGGGAGAAGGGTGGCAGTTACTTCTGAGGGCTTAGAGATGTTTAAAGGCCGGCTGATTCTCCATCGTCCCAGAATGCTCGAACCGGCTCGTAGGTTGTGAGGTTTTTGAATCCCCCCATGGCTCTGCAACGAGTGATCTGGCGGTGCTGCGTCTGTTGCGTTGTTCCTTGGCGCTCGAGTCCCGCTGACAGGACGACTCCAGTGGAGCAGAGGCAGCGGGAAACTGGAGCGAGGCGGTGCCTAGGGCATGGGCTGCATAGCCGAGTTCTCGAACATGAGGTTTCTGAATATGTACGGGGGATCACTTAATATTCAGATATTTTTGGGCTGCCTTAAGAACTCTTCTCGGCTACCGATCCAGTGCCGCTCCAGGCCGTGCCCTGCAAGGGTTGCAGCCGCTATACCCAGCACCGTGTTGGGGGAGTGTGCCAGTACGCAGCCTTGTTGCAAGTTGCAAGCGACCCGCTTTCTTGCACATGGCCTAGAGGCCTCCTTGGGTTGACTAGTTGGGATACTTAGGAGAGAGCAAGTACGCTTGTGTGGCTGCGAGCGTCGGTGTAGAGCCTTCTTGCAGAATCCGACTTCCCCCCCTCCCCCCCCCGCGTTCCGACTGAGGACAAGTCCAAGAGCGTGTGTGCCGTGTGCATGCCGCCAGACGAAGGAGCCGAAGAGGGCACATGTCCTGTGAAACTTGTCTAGACATCGGGTCGAGGCCAGCAGACCCATGATCTGCGCTCTATTGAACCCTATCGCAAAGGTGAACGCATGGAAACCCAGCTGTGACAGGAGTCTTCAATTGTCAGTGTGGCCGGCGCTTTCCGCACACCTGCGTCCCATGTGGGAAAGAAGACCTGTGCTCGTCGCTGGCCAACGAGGCGGATGAAGGGGCATGTCGGGGTCGGGGCCAAGCGGACTCCTTTGCAAGCAAGTCCCATCAAGTCCCTGTGTTTTTGATTTGTGGCAGATTCTTGAGAACGTCCACCCCGCATGCAGTCTAGCAAAGCCCCCGACTGAATTCCTTCAGCTGCATCTGCTGCTCGCCTGTCAGCCTCCTCTGGAACTCGGGCGCGCCACGATGCATGGTGTCAGCTTCCACCTGACCTGTCAATCCTCTGGGACTGCGCCTCTGGCAAGACTAGTCCGCGTTTCAGTTGGCCTCTCCAGATCTGTTTGTGCTTCAGCTTCATGTCTGATGCCGTATGTATTCTTATTATTTGGGTTCGTGTAGGCCGTCCTCGGAACCAGACCAGGTGCGTCTCCAGGCACAGGTGGTGGCGCCCTACGGCCGAGTCCTGAGATTGGGTCGGGGGATGTTAGGGGTTTTTGAACTGGGGATTCTGGGGAAAAGGTCCAGGGCGAGCACTTTCAGCTCTAACCTGCAGTTCTTGATTTTCTGCCGAAGAGCTCGCACGCAACTCTACTTTAATGTTTGGCAGCCTATGAATTATGAATCTTAGATTGCACCTCGGCCTCAGGTGGTTCCGATGTGTTCTATCTTTCCATGGGAGGCTGCCCATCGTGGAGGCACAGACTTGGGGGGTTGTCATGGGTTGTCAGAAAGTCTTCCAGAAAACCTCCGCCGGCACCAGCTGCGACCCTTCGCGAGGTGGTTTCTGCATTCCGGCTGGGGCACAAACTGCGCTGAGGCCTGATGCCCACAGCACCAGTTCACGAGGCGGCACTTGACCGTACTTGGGTATTGGCAGGATGACAGCTGTGCCTACCAAGACGAGCCTCGCTGGAGCACGGAGTCGGAGCCGTGCAAGCTGCTGGGCGACATTTGTGTACGAAGAGGTTCTGGAAGCGCTGTGCGTGGTAAGTGACCAATGCATCCTGAGACACCGCTTGCTGAGGCTACGCGAGGGCAAGCACTTTGCTGCTTGGTGTCGTCAAAGGTTTCCGGTGACAAGGGTTTTTGGTTGGGAGGGCGAGGCCCCATGCCAAGTATCCACCCCGCGCTGAAGGAGTTCAAGTACTTGCAAATGTCTTACCTCGATGTCCATGACAAAATGGGTTTGTGGAGGATATTGGATACACTAGCCACCATGAAACGTGTTCGTGGCCTCTCATGCTCTAAAGAACCTGCGTTTCTGCTCTGTGATGTTTTTTAATCCTTGTAGACGTTGAATCTTCGACTTCCGCGAAAATGAAGAGAGCTTTCCTTGCATGATCAGAGGGGACTTCAGTGGAGAGAGATTGAATCTCTCCCTGTGAATTCTTGCGGCTTTCTCCTTTTCACTGAGTTCCTCAGCGCCCCATGCAAGCTTTCTGGCGTTTAGGTGGTTCGCGTGCTGCGGATTGTGCCTCACTTGGGTCCTGGCTGCGCGTCCCGTGAACTGAATTTGCTCTGCTTCACATCCGGGTTCGCCGCCGTTGGTCTCTTTATATCGTTTTCTTCTTGTCTCTTCGTCAAGGGTTCACATGAAACTAACATGACGGGTTTCGAGTCAGAGGGTCAATACGGCAGTTGAAGCGTTCCACTGCAAACATGTTGCGCGTCTCTGATGTAAATGGGCAAGTGCCAACAAAAATTCGCAGATGGACCGTCCTCTGCAAAATGAGGAAAGCATGAGGCAGGAACAAAACACAGCAGAGACTTTCTGTCTTGCATGACTTAGAGGCACATTGTTCTAGCCCCTTTGCGGCAAACTGCTCAGGTCACCTTCCGGCCATCGCATCCGGGTGATCTCAAGTTGACGAGGCCAACGAACATTCAGCAGCTTGAAGACCGCCTGTCTTTCGGAATTGTGCCGCCTCGGTGTGTGTGTGTGTGTGTGTTGGCTTCTTCATGTTTTTTTGGCACCGCTGCTGTCATGAATGCGTCGAGTAGACCCGTGCTTGAGATCCCTCTCCGAGGCTGCGGCTGTCAAGTGGCTCAGACTTTTGCTCGCCCCTGGGCCGCACACAGCACCTCAACTCTGGGTCAACTCGCAGATGTGCCAAGTTCTTTGAGGGATCGGTTCAAGGGAAGAGTCTACATCATTTGCTACATCTGCAAGTCGTGTCTGAGGTTTGAGCCGCTCCCCCCCGAGACCACCACAACCACGACGACCTACACATCGCCGCCGTGGGGAACTGAGACGATACTGACAAACAACTGCTTGTTCGAACGCACCTAGAGATGTGACTTGCTGTAGACTATCACACTGTAGAGCGCGGCCCATGACACTGTTAGGGCGGTAAAAGATGCTTGCGAGATATGGCGGGGTGCCCCTTCACCTCCCCCCCCCCTAAAGGTCATGTGTGTGGCTCACAGGCAAGGTTCTGACTGTAGTAGAAGGTGGCCGGAAAAAGTGTTCATGTTGGCGGTTGGACCCATGAACTTTGTTGTTTGGTTTCTAGAAGGTTCGGAGCTGTTATTGTTGGGTGGTGGTGAGTGCACGCCGCTTTTGCTGCAGAAATCGGTGGTGGCATGGGTAGCCTTTAATCATGGAAGGGGGGAGATATCAATCCTGTTTGGGCTGCGCAAGATGCGAGTGCGTGTTGCATCTTTCCATGGCGTGTCGACGGACTTCTAGCGCACTCAACGCATCCCAAGGTACTTGCAAGGCGCCTGCCCGTCCGAAGCAGAAGACGCCACGGATTTCAACAATTGCCCTTTCCGATACTATGCCGGGGCCTCACGAGACGAGATGCAATTGTGATGTAATCCGTTCCCCCTAATATTATACCCCCCCAATATAAAAAAAACCCCTCTGGCCCCAACGCCCGGTCCGGCAGTCGTCCCTTTAAATATCTCTACAGAATTAGGGGCGGGGAAGCCTGAATCTCATGTAGGCCTAAAGCTTGAAACCTGCTCTATGGCTGAGCCAGCAAGCTAGAACGACTGGTTGTTTTGTTCGGACAAACGGTAAGAACCGGGGAAGCCTGAAACTCATTTAGGCCTAAAGCTTGAAACCTGCTCTATGGCTGAGCCAGCAAGCTAGAACGACTGGTTGTTTTGTTCGGATAAACGGTAAGAACCCCCCCTATTACTAAAACCCCTTTGGGGGGTTTGTATACTGGGGGGGGGGGGCCTTTTATATTAGGGGGAAGGGATTATCGAATCAACACTTATAGCTCTAGTCCAGACGAAATTGAGCCAGCTTCCAAGGTCATGGAAGTTCTTTCTACTGCTGGGGATGAGGCGCGCGATCGAGACCCATGATCCCAAAGCCTCCAGCACTGCAAGAGGCAGCGTGGAAGATCGGCGAGTTGCGGCTCTACTACCTCAATGCCAGAGGGCGGCTCCAGAAGCTTCTTGCCCTCTGCTCTGGTCGTGTTAAGCTCGCAGCTCTCCGTACAGCGGGGCGCACCAGTGAAGGCATCTCACCCGAGGTTTCCAAGCTCAGATGTGCGCGCAGAGCTCATCCAGGAGCTTGTCGCATCTGTGTGCGCCTTTGGGGCATCTCTGCATGGTGACAATGGTGCTTTCCGGATTCATATTCAGAGCGGCGAAATGTGGTGGGCCATGTTTTTCGCACGGCGTGAGCGGAAGGCGTGAGCGAGGGACCGCGGGGGAGTGAACACAATCCAGAAAGTGTAAAGAAAATGCGGACTTCCCGACTGGTGCTTTAGTCCGGGAAGGGTCTGAATCCTCTCAGTGCTTTGCGTGCTCTCACACGAGGGTTTTGAACAATCTCCATGAGGCTCTCATACTGGGTTGGGGCGGGGGCGTCTGATGTAAGGGCCGGAACTCTCTGGGAGGCTATGGGACGTAGGTGCGGCGCAGAGTCTGAGTGTCCTGACCATGTGTTTGTTTTTTTGTCTCTCTCTTTCTCTCTCCACAAACAGGACGATGCAGAGACACGAGGCTGCGAAGCAAGCAATGCTTCCAATGCCTTTGACTTGTCCGTCTTCAGTGGCCTCTGCTCGCCGACGCTGGGCGTCAGGGTTTGAACTACCCAGAGCCCAGTCTGCCATGCCACCTTCCTCCGTGCCCAAAAGCACAAGCTCTTTTGTACTCTGCTGCACCGAGGAACAGGATGATCAAGCTGAGATTAGACCTGGGCCGGGGAGTGGCAATCACGAAGTACACAGTGGTCCGGCAGAAGTGGGGTTCATGTCATTTTTCACGTCAACTCTACGCTGGTCAGATTTGATGCCAGTTCTTACCCCTGTGCTCGCTGAAGTCTCAGAACCCAGCTTGAGTTAAGTGCAGATCAGCCATCCAGGTCATCAGCGCCAACGATGCTCGGCAAAGTTGCAGCTGTGTGCGTCCTTGAAGATCATATCTGCGAATGTGCTTTAGAGGGTGGTTTTTGGGGCCAGAGCCCGAAGGCTGCATGTCCAGCCTCCCCTACTCTCAGGCCTCCAGTTCCTTCGATCCCAAGTCCTGGAGGCTCCGACAGCTGGAGCTGTTTACATGTCTGCTGATCTGAGAGCAGTCCCAAAAAACCCAGGAACATGACTTCGAGCTGAACTGTCCGTCAAGTTGATGCTTCGCTGATTGATGGGATGTCATGTCCACTTCAGCAGACCATCCGAAGGCTCTGGGGGTCTGTGGACGGAGCAACAGCGAGCGACATGCCAGCAGCTCAGTGTTGGAGCGGGGGCTGCAAGGAAGGGGAACCGGAGCTGTTGGAGCGCCTCCTTCCATGATCTTGCATCGAGTGGTTGCAAGAGCACTCTCGAGCACTGAGGACGTCGCTTTCCACGGCGGTGAAGCTCAGCGATGTGTCCGAGGCAGTTTTTACCCGTGGCGTCTCAACTCTGCCTTCGCCACTGTCTGAGTAAAGCCTTGACAGCTCCGGCCCTCTGGACACGGGAGATCTCTGAGGGAATTAGACGCCTCCACTGCTCCATTGTGCTGATGTCACTTTTCCGTGACAGGCGCACTTTCCATCGGCCCGCTGGATGTGCGATCCTCCGTGGAGTTTGCCGCGGAAGCGAGGTCCCTGCCCTGCCTGCATCTGAAGTTTGCAATCAAGTTTTAGGGCGGCGGCCGGGACGTTCATGTGTATTCATGGTTCTCATGGGACACACTTGTGGTCCCCTTAGCATTCACACTTGACATGCTTGCCAAGCCCGAAGCTCCATTGAAGGCTACCACTGCATGGCAACAACCACGACCACGACCACAGAGGTAGGGGCTTTGGGTGGGCAGGTCGGCAAGTATCGTATGTCTGTATGAAAAGGCGAAGACCACACAAGAGCTTGCAGGTTTAGGCGGCGCATTCACGGTGGCCGTTTGTTTTTTGTTTCTCTTTTTTCCTTTTCAATGGCTGCAAGTTTGGGGCCAGGTTCAGGGTCATTGTGTGAAGCCCACAGCTAGCAGCAGTCAGTGCATACTTGCCGTGCAAGATTTCGGAAGCAGTGCGAATATCTTTCCACAAAACTGGAGCCGTGTGTGGACGACGCAGACACTGGTCCACGGCCCGCCCGATGGGGCTTAAGCAGGTGGAGGTGATGACCTCGACTACGACGACCACCACCCCTATGGTCAAGAAAGATCGGTGCTTCTACAGAGCCTGGGATAGGGGCAGCATGGGAAAGTACTTCAGGGCATTTCAATAGTTCGTGTCAGTTTCAGGCCAGCCAACAAACGGTCTTCGTTTCCTTTTCGAATCCAAGGATATTATGCGCTACAAGTTCTGCAGGCCAATGACGAGAAGGCACATCACGGGGCACTTGCGGGGTTTCACACTTCCTTTCAAACTCGGTGTTGAGAAGGTCCTCGGAATGTCCTGGGTAGTCCGCCAGTCCCAGCACCTCACCTACTGTACCATTGGGTGCAGTGGCCAAAGGGCAAGTTGTTAGATCAAAGAGCCTGTGACTGCTAAAGAGCTCAGCATGTGCGCTCACCAGTTGGATCGTAGAATTGCGAGCAGAATCGCGAAAGGCCGAACGCGGAACATGGCTTTAGCCGGTCCATCTCTGCCAATTCATGCAGAATGCCTGAAGCTCCTGTAGCCACAATTGGCTCGAGACCTAGGCTTTGGAGGCAGAGATTACATACAACGAGAAGGTTGAAAATGGTTGAAGTAAGCTAGATGAGATCGAAGCAAACAGATCACGCGAAATTCATGTGAGATGGGCTCGAAATTAAACTACACCAAGATCACCAAGAAGGCGTTAGGTTGAACAAGCTTTGGGGGGAAGAACGTGAGATGTAGGCCTGCCATGCCGAACCACAGCCAGAACCGAAGCCGGAACCCCTGCAGGGCGGCATGAGCAGCCGGGAGTGCTGTGCATGAGACGCCAACAAAGATGTCCACAGATGGGCGGCATACGAGTGCCAGATGAGCATTCCTACTGTCAAGGCAGAAGCGTGCCAAGTATGCACGCGCGTGATTGCAAGTCACGGACAATGTCGCACATTCATGCTATTGAAGAGACGTGCGGCAGAGAAGCTTTGGCACTTGCCCTCTTCAAAAACAGTACGGCAAGGACGGAATGCGCTGGCAGCAATCACCATCCGCATGAACCGGAGTCAGGTTATACACGTGAGTACCGGAGAAGAGTGAGAAGGGCGCGGAAGCAAGTTGGCGACAACGCGACAACTTCCGTCGCGGTCACCGATTTGCTTCCGTGCCTTTCGCTCTGCTCGGGCGCTCATACAGCTCCAGGATCCACAGCATCAACAAGGCAGCGATGGTCGAAAGTGCTGACGAGCTCGCGGTACTTGCGGCCATCGCCGCCTTGTTGGATCCTTTGGATCGCGTGGATCCCGGAGTCGCAACTTCCTCTTCCTCATGCGACGGATGCGCGGAACACAAGCTTCATGTCCTTTGTTGGAGCTACGGCTTCTGGATCGAGCTGTATACTGTACAGGCTTTGTGGTATCACCTGTCGCCTGGGAGCAAGAAGCATCATGTAGGTGTTCGGCTCAGAGTATGCCACTTCCTTTGAACCAAGAGCTGCCGCTTTTGCTCGTGAGGATGGCAAAAAGTGTCCCTTGGACCCTCGGGTTAGGGTTTCGGGTTTGGGGTTTAGGGTTTAGGGTTTAGGGTTTAGGGTTTAGGCTTAGGGATAGTATTGGGTCAAGGGGACTCCGACAGCTCAGCCAGCAGCGAACCCCATGCAGTTGCCCAAATGTTGCCAAGACCGATGCAGGCAGCAACGTGGCAATTGGCAGAGGTTGAGCTCAGACAGAATGGCAAGGTCGGGCAAGGATCTGTGTACGTGTACGGGTGCGAGGGCGACTGCAGAAATCTCGCGAGAGTGTAGGGTCACCATGTTTGTACAGAGGATCGTACTGCATCACTGCTGCGCGCGCGCGCCGATGAGGCCTTGCTGTTGCCAAAGTCACGCGGGTCAGCGTGGTGTCCGGCTCAGCTTCTGACACGATTGGGTGTGGGCTATCCAAGTCCGCGGCTGGCCATCACCGCCAAACGAGGTTTGTCCACGGTCGGGCGTCGAGGCCTTCACCTGATCTACTTGCCCGTTCTTGACTGACATTGGCTGTTCAGTCCCGTTTGCACATTCAGTGCCTCTTCCCTTGGCTACGAGTCTCTTGGGAGGCCTGCGACAGTGCTCGATGCAGCGAGCTCAGCATAGCACATCTGGAAGTACCAGTAAGGCAGCCACAGCCTGTGGAATGGCTACCTAGTGAGCCTACTGGTTTGAACTTGGTGGGCCACAATCAAAGCACGGGTCGAGCACCGAAGAACAGCTAGGGTCCTGGGTGGGGGGGGGGGGGTTGGCACAGTTTGAGCACCGAGCAAGCACCACATTGTTGGGCTAGCTGTGTGTGCGGGACCGAGCAAAGCAACCAGTAGACGACACGTGGAACAGGGGTAGAGGTGGGGGAACCTTGAAAAAAGCCAAGTATGGGAAACCGGCCACATTTTGCAGCTTCTCTTGCCTTGATGCGTCTTGCATGAGGATGGCACGGAAGCATTCAACGTCCTGGACGGAAATCTGGCAACAGTGGAGCGGATCTCAGCGGGCTGAACCCTAGATCTTGCAAGCCGTGCTGCGAAGCGTCCCCCCAAGGCGCAGCCGGATGGTGGGTTCTCCGCAAACTACACTTCTCTGCAGCTAGCACTCGGACAGCGTGTTCGCGTGGCGCGAAGTAGCTTCTTGGGAGCTTTTGGTGCTGCTTTGTTCAGCCTTGCTGCTTATGGCTTTAGCTACAAGATCTGCAAAACTGACGGTCAGATTTTTGCAGTGCATCGCTTCAACATGCACTTCTCACCTCTGCTCCCACGCAGCAGAATCGCGAATTGGAGCATCCAACGGGCCAAGAGGCAGTAACCGAGACTAGGCCCCAAACCCTAAGCCCTAAGCCCTAAACCCTAAACCTTAAACCTTAAGCCCTAAACCCTAACTGCATCTCTACCAGCAATGTCACCGTGTCAGCTTTTTGAAGCTCTTTTGGCCCAAGTATCCTAGGTAGGATAAGGGGGGGCCCTTAAACGGGAACCCTTCTTAAGCCTCTTCTGCCTCTCTTAAACAGGGACCTTATTCAGAGGGTCTATATTTCCAAGGGTCCCCAAAATCCTATCCCTTAAAGGTTCCACTTTCGACTATGCGGCACCACATTTCTGCATGGACAACGACGAGGACACCCGCTGCAGCACTGCCTGGAACGGAGGCTCATGGAATGATGGAATGGGGGCCCTGAACCCTAAACCCTAAGTCCCAAACCCTAAACCCTACACCTAAGCCCCTAAACCCTAAACCGAAGCCCCTAAACCATGTCTTTGACCCTGAACTGCCTGAGATATGTCACGAGCTCCTTGGAGCTTGCGGGAGTTCTTGTTTACAACGATGTTGACACCGTGACCTGACGACCCGGACCCCGACCACCCCACCGTTGGCCTGCAGAGTTTGCTTCAACAGAGGGATACTGCAACAACAACTTCCACAAGAATTACTACCCCAAACCCCAACTCTACAAAACCCAAAACCTCCACACATTTCCTCAGCACTGTCTTTGGCAGCTAAGCCTTAGTCCTCCACAGATTTCTTCAGTACTCGCTTTGGCAGCTGCGATTCCGGAGCACGTACTAGCTTTCGTCCGCCTGCTCTCAAATTGGCGACTGGAGTCTGATTTTGAAGTCTGGTTTGCGGACCTTCAGCTACATGCACTTGTCTCTTTGCTTGTCTGGATGTCTGTTGTTGTGTATGTGCCTTCAGTCTGTCATCTTGCACTTTTCCTGCTGCTTGTCGGCCAGCCTTCTGCTTTTTGATGTCTGCTTCCACTCATCCTGTTTCTGCGCTCGACATGTGCAGGTGTGCGTATTGATTGCCCGAACAAGGGGTTCCAGCACAGTTAGGTCCCTACAGGGTCGCAGCGCGCACGACCGGCGCCTGCAGCCTGGACCACGCGTCGTTTTTTGAAGGCTGCTCGTTTTTTGAACGAAATCGCGCTCTCGCCTAGGCGCGGGGCGTTCATGGGCGTTCCCGTCTCGCCGGCTGTGAAGCTGTCCTCGTCTTTGCTCCAGTGTTCGCGAAATTCGAAACTGTCGTCGTTTTGCGATGTCTTGTTTCTTGGTGTCTTTTACAAGTGCTCTTGATCCTTTGAAGTGCTCCGGCGTCTCCACATGGGCCGTCCACCGTTTTTCGTCTACGCGGACAGAATATTGCATTGGCATGCCTTGCCATCGTCGTCGTCGTGCTCATCATCATGACCACAAGATTCCATTAGGCATTGCTTACTTAGCCGTTGAAGCCGGAGGCGAATTCTGGACGGACCACTCGTGACCAAGGCCGCTCGCCCCCGGCCATTCTGAAGAAAACGAAAATGCCACGGGACGAGCACCGCAAAGAAGATGTTGGTGAGGGAGTCAAATGCCTTGAAAGCAGATATGGTGCGAGGGGGGGGCCCAGGGTCATTGTTCAGGAACGCGGCCATTGGACTGCATATGTGTGTTGCATGTCACAAGGCCAAGAATCAATACCATCACTAATCACAAGACAGTGGTTCCGGCAGACCGTCGACGTCCCCAGATCATTGAAAAGCACGGGTGCAGACACACCCAGCTTCCGTACCCCCCACGAGGATGCCTACAGAAACGTCTCCAAGCCGTTCTACTTTGCAAAATGCAAGTTTTCAAGTTGTCATGTTCGACAAAATGTAGCTTAATCTGTTTAGGCCGAGTGAGCTCGGAGCTTTCTCTTCCCACAGTTCCGCGCGAGCCCCCGATGGTCGCTCCTCATTGCGTTTTTACCACGACGCAAACTGTTCGGAGATTTCGGGGCTCTGAGACGGGCTGAGCCAATTCAATGGGGGCGGCCAAGGAACGTAAGCGTGTTCCGCAGTTAGGAGCCCCAGCTGATCTAGCTTTCGGAAGCCTCTCCCCCCCCCCTGTCAGGTTCGGGCGAGCTGAACCCGTGGTGGCAGGTGGACCTTGGGATCCGCGAGGCTGCCTCGGAGCTGTTCATAACTTGAGGCTGATACCGTCGGACCCTACTGTACCATCGTGTAGCATGTGTGCCCTAAGATGAACCTACGCACTTTCAGCCCCAATGCCGTATGGACTCGGGACACAGTTCCTTCAGAGGTTCTGTGAGGCTTCGGGGTTCATCTGTGGTTTTAAAAATAACAGGTTCACATCGCACATCAAAAGCCAAAAGCATAAAGTTGCTTAAAGATCGCGAAAGCCAGAAGCAGCTGGAAGGCAGAATCCAACCAGCTCCTAAGATCAATCAAAAGCAACGCTCTCTCTGGCTTTTTAGGCTGTGGAGATTGTTGCGCTGCTCAGCCATCCTGATGGCTGCTTGAATGATCTTGAATTTGGGTTTTTGCAAGGTATCTTCAAGGATTTTTTCTGCGTCTGCGATTGTCTGCATAAGTGTGTGTGAGTGTGTGTGCAGACCGCAAAAGATTTTTCAGCAGATTCCTGAATGAAGATTGGTTCATGCTTGCTTGTTCGCATCAGCAAAGCAGCACCTTGCAGGTTGTGAAGCGCGCTATGGCGTGGACGTTGGAGACCTGTGCCTTGGTGGAGCTTCGCAGAGAGAGAGAGAGAGAGAGACGCCCACTTTCATGAAGCCTACAGCCCACAACTGTTCATAAAGTCATCGAAGCCGTTTTGAGTGAAGTATGCCCCTTGCTCAGAAACCACAAAGGTGCACACCCACGGGTGCCGTCGTTAGCATCAGTGACGTGTCTTGTGCAGGCAAGAAAGCAGGGTCATGCAGGGTTAAAGAGATGCCTGACGAAACATCTTCAGTTTTGCAGGTGTCCGCTGCGTTGCATGACAGCCCTTCCTCTAGTCACTGGAAGTTGGAACTTGCTTGCATGCTTCACGCCCTTCTCCTGCTTCATGCGTTGCGCCAGCGAGAGGCCACACTTGCCCTGGCGAGCCATGTGGAAAGTTAGAGGTCAAAGGCAAGGACAACTGGTACTATGCCCCTTGGACAGATCATGGAAGGGGCCCGGGCAGTCAGCGGGAACGAAGGACCAAAATGGATAGCAAGCAACTATCTCTATATGGATTCACAGGGCATCTCATTCATGCCCACTCTTTATGGTCAGTATTGCTTGACTATCAGCGACTAGCAGGCTCTTCATCATGCTTGGGCCAGGTCTCCTGCGAGGGCAAGGTGGGCCGGTACGTCCAGGTGCAGCTTAAGGGCCAGAGGGTCCTCAACTTCCGCGAGTTCCGCCTCCTGGACAAGGCCTGTAGGGGAATTTTCGAGATCCGCGGTCTGCTGCAATTCACCCAAGTGCTGAACTCTGTCAAGTCTTTTTTGGAGATTGAGAAAAATCGCCGACTCTCAGCAGAGGACATGCTCACTGATGTGGACTTGCCGCAGCCCTCACAGAAGTCGGCCATGGACTACTTTGCCGCACGGCCTGAAGCTACGGCGAGCTGCATCACGCGGGTTTTGTGGTGTCAGCTTTGACTCATTCGGTGTGAACTGTACATGTTTGCGCTGAGGTCCGAGCGGATCGCAATGGTTACTATGACACGCGTTGTCATGAGCCGCATGGTCAGCAGAAATTTGCCAGTGATCGCAACTTACCATTTCATCTTGCTTTGCAGTGAGATAGGAGGCCATAGGAGGCCCCAAAGGGCCCAGCATGGCACTTGTTTCGCGATCGCTTGGCACTACGAGGAACCTCGCCAGCACCATCCGCGGCTCCAGTTCCGCCCTTACTCCCTGTAGAGCTCGGCAATCTGCTCAGCTAATACAGAGCCTCCCACATTCACGGCATGACGCTGTATGCGTTGAGAATCGTCGACCTCAGAAGGGTGAGGTGGTCCTCTAAAGCCCGAAAATAGTGGCAGGGGTGCTGATTCGGGGTCCGCCCAACATATTCTAGCAGCGGCACGTGAAGGACAGAGAGCACGCCACCCCGAAGCCCTGCAAACAAACTCAGCACCAAGAAACGGCGCGGGAAGTTCGCGATTGTTCAGCGTGCAATGCGAGTCTTCAGCCCTTTGGACGGCCTGTGACCTGTGGAGCCCAGGCAAAGAGAAGCTGGAGGAGTGTGCACAAGCATGCCCCGGCCTCAGCAGGTTTGCAGTGCTGCAGAAACTTGGGAAAAAGAGTGCAGTCATGATCTTGGCAACAACGTGTGGTGCCGTTCAGGGCAGCTTCTCGCTGAGGCCTCAACCATGGAGACTGCGGAGGCTTCTCTGACTACAGCGGCATGGCCTGCGTCGCGGGCCGAGATTCGCTCTGCATCATAGTGCAACAAAACAACATCTCAAACAGGCCTGTCAGCAAGCTAACGCAGTTCCCCCCAATTTCTCTGAGTGCTCTCAGTGATGCCGGGAATATTCACAGGTAAGCCCGTGACATGATCATGTTTAGGCCCCCCTTCTGCGTTCCAACTTGGACCGACGGCTGCTGGAACGAAGGTTTTGTCACGCTGGTTTCGTTTGGTCATACGCTGTCAATCGCTTCTGGAAGGGTGATCACAATGCTCTTTACAAGTTGCTGCTACACGACGGCGACGACCACGATGAAGTGTTTTGATCTTGCTGACTTCCACACAATCAGTGCTAGATCATTGTTACTTTGCCTTTCGCACTTACAACTACAACTGCTACTCCACGACGACCGCACTAGCACTACTGGTATAGTGCCATACGAGCACTACCGCACCGCCATACTGCGCCGTGCGAGCACTCAGGTTTGTAGAGCGGTGAAGGAATGGGCCTTCCCTGCTCCAATACGGTTCAGACATTTTCATGCTATTTTTGGTGTTTAGCACGTGACCCACGAGTGTCGGGATTTTCGCGGTCCAGCCGGCTCAGTGCGCTCAAACTTTGGTAGCTGTACACTTGCAAATCGGTCCGGGGTTTGAGTCCAAAAAACGACAGGCGGAGCCCTGCCAAACAGGTGCCATGATCTGAACACACTGTGCAAAACATGGGTTCCCAATTCTCATGCACGATTTCTGCACTGTCGCGAAAGCGACTCGCGCGTCGTAGTAGTAGCAGTAGTAGCAGTAGTAGTAGTAGTAGTAGTAGTAGTAGTAGTAGTAGTAGTACTACTACTACGACTACTACTACTATTACTCCTACCACTCCTCCTCCTCCCACTCCTATTCCTACTCCTCCTACTCCTACTGCTACTCCTACTCCTGCTCCTGCTCCTACTGCTGCTGCTACTAGTATTCTAAGTACTGCTATTGCTACTACTTCTACCACTACTAGTACTAGTACTAGTACTAGTACTAGTACTAGTACTAGTAGTAGTAGTAGTAGTAGTAGTAGTAGTAGTAGTAGTAGTAGTAGTAGTAGTAGTAGTACTACTACTACCACTACTACTACTACTACTACTACTACTACTACTACTACTACTACTACTACTACTACTACTACTACTACTACTACTACTACGTACTACTACTACTACTACGTACTACTACTACTACTACTACTACTACTACTACTACTACTACTACTACTACTACTACTACTGCTACTGCTACTGCTACTGCTACTGCTACTGCTACTGTTACTGCTGCTACTACTACTACTACTACTACTACTACTACTACTACGACAACTATTACTACTACTACTACTACTACTACTACTACTACTACTACTACTACTACTACTACTACTACTACGACTACTACTACTACTGCTACTGCTACTGCTACTGCTACTGCTACTGCTACTGCTACTGCTACTGCTACTGCTACTGCTACTGCTACTGCTACTGCTACTGCTACTGCTACTGCTACTGCTACTGCTAGTACTACTGCCTAGTACTACTGCCTAGTACTACTGCCTAGTACTACTGCCTACTACTGCCTACCACCACCACTGCCAAGCCTGCGGAGCTGAGAGGTCATCATGACGAAGTCAAGGGCATCGCTGGAACAGCGATGTGGGTGGACAGAGCCCTGCTGGCATGGAGAGGGTGCGGAGATCAAGGTTACAAGTTTGGAGCAGCAACACAAAGGCTGACATTTGTACCTGGGCTCTTCTTGTGTAATTGCACCTGATACGATCCTGTGAGGTAGAAGCTGGCATGTCCTCGCACAAGCAAGCCTCGCCAAAGGTTGCGTTGCCCCAAGGCAGAATCCTAAAAGGAACTCATTTCGAGACTGAGGATGATGACAAGGCGTCTTACTACGAGCGACAAGACGAGGTGCACAGCGCACAGTTGATGTATGCAAGAGACTCATGCTCTTTCTACGGCGCAAGCCGAAGATCTCCGGAGCACAAACGCCATCGGAAGGTTCCTGTTACTACCACCACAACGACCACAACTGGAGTGCCTCGGTGAAAAGTTCTGAGAAGCGTGGAATCGTGCATCTGCAACAACCTGCAAGCTCTTGTACTTCCATCCTCCTCCGGCACTCGATCCCCCCTTTCCGGACGTCAGTGCCCCCTCAGCTCAACTCACTAGGAAGGGTCTCCGACTCGAGCCTGTCAGGATTTAGGCAGCCTAGTTACAGGCTGTCCCGATTTTCGGCAAGCCCTTGCAAAGAACCGGAAGTATCTCTGTAGCTCGGACGTCTCGCCAGAGGTTGATTGACATTCAGGCCAAGTTGGAAAGGTCCGAGTGGTAAAATGCCGACCTGAGGTGGACACGTCCATTGCCTGGGCCCAAGACATCGGTAGAGAGATGACCGGACCTAGGATACTCTGAGGATCATGTTGCATCAGAGTACTTAGTAGCTGGATGGGTACACTTGACACTTTTTGGGGAAACTCTGATCCCCTGTGCAACTAAGAGTAAGGGAGTCCCAAATCCCCAGGTGGAGGCCGGCTGGGAGGGCAGCAGTGACAGCGGCCGGCTGGCTGCGAAGTTGATCCTCGCAGCCTGGCTTGATGTCGAGAGTCTAAAGCATGAACCCTAAAACCATCTAAAACCCTAAGCACGTGGCCAGGGGTTACGCCCCATCAAGCTTTCCGTCGCCTCAGCCGCTTCTGAGGATCTCGGGGAGCAGAACTTCTTGACTGAGTGCCTTCGCAAATAAGGGTAGTCAACGGGTCTCTTTACGTAGGAGCTCAGCTCAACTTCAATAGAATAGGCTCTTGCGCTATGTGGAAGTGGACCATAGTGCACCAGATCAGCTCAGCCAGTAATCGCGGGACGTACGCCCAAAGCCCCACGCAAGAGTTTGCACCCGCCAGGTACGCTGTGGTTTCGGGCTCTGGTCCTGATGGCGAGCACCCGAAGAAGTGGTCACTGGCCAGCAAAGACCAGCACCAAGAAGGGACGAGGAGATGTTCGCGTTGTCTTTTTTTCAACCCCGACTTCTTGTTGCACAAGGTTCAAAAGAAACTTTCGTGTTTGCCTTGCTTTGTCTAAGCCTTCCTCTGTTTTATCGAAAGCTCGATAAACTTTCCCATGTTCAGCAGCTGTGGCTCAGTATGCAAGCGAAGCAACTTGCCAAGAAACATCTTGGCGTGCTGGGCAACACCAAGGATCCTCAGGGGATCCAATGATGCAGCTGCGCCCATGGATGAGTGGGACGAGCTCAGTTGCACGGCGGCGATTGGCTTTCAGGATCTGTGCGCCAAGTTTGATTGTCCCAGTTTTAGGCGCTGCGGCGTCTCCAAACTACACGAAGCCAGCACTACAGAGCACTATAGATCTGTTCCTTGAGCCTACGGCGTCCAAGCGAGGAATCCGGATGTTGATGGAGTCAGTCGTAAGGAGGTTGTGCTCGTACGTTGGGTTCAGTTTGGAGGCACAGCCTTGCAGGGCTGGCTTCTAGAAAAGCTTAGATGCTTTTCAGGTCGAGTCCTGCCAACACTCGCCAGACGAATCTTGAAGGATTGTGTGCATGGGCCCTTCCCTTCCGTGGCATGATGGCGGAGAAGGGCGGGGACAATTGTCTAGATGTAGAGTTGATTCTGTGAGGTTGGCTTGGGCCTGCGGAGGTCAGCAGCATCTTATACATCCACAGACCGTTGCAGATCCCTGAGCCCTCTAAGATCTCGCTCGTTCCAGATTTCCCTTGAGTTTCTGGAAACATGAGGCAAGCGAGATTCCGACGAGCCTGCGCCCTTCCCTCAGAGAACTCGGAAAGGGCATTGGAGTTTCGTCGTGCCGGCTCTGGGAAGTGACCTTCGGAAGTAGAGCCGGAGATGCCAGCACTTTTCAGCACTTAGATCTCAGTGTCGACTGTGTCACTGTCAAGGGGACTGCTGGCGATTCTACTGTGGAGTAGCTGTGCGTCTGAGACTCTCGAAGGTTCCCGCCTGGAGAACTGGGACACCGAAAGCCGCTGTTACTCTCCGTCGCGTGTCCAGACGACGGTCAATGAGTTGTAGACACCGTAAGCGAAGAAGGGGCGAAGCCGGAGCATGAGCATCGCTTCAGGCATCTTTCAGGGTTTTCGCGTGCGACGCAGAATGTACATAGTGCTCTGGAAGAACGAACCAACACGAAGAGTGCCAGGAGGGATGCAAAATGCGCTGCCTGCAACATGCACATGTACCAAGCAAGCAAAAAAGCGAGACGACCCGTCGCGCCTGAGACTGGAGTTCGGCCAAAGGGACCCGGATTCAGTGCCGTCCGCGACCACTGTGCCAGTCTGAAGTCCGAACATGCAATCGTCCGCTTGCGCTGTTTTTAGGGCTCAAGATCGAGCGCAAGCTCCCCCAGCTGGAAGGCGTCCACTTTGCCACAGCAGCTTGCTCACGTTAGTGGTGGCGCTTTTCTGTTCCTTCCAGGTTGCGGGGAGGTTTCTGACAACCTTGGGAGGCTCTTAGAACTTGGAACCTGAAGCCTGAAGTGCTCAATCCAGCACGGAGATTGTTGGGCAGCAGCAGGACCCTCTGAAGCCAAAAACAAAACACAGTGGTGCTAAATCCAAGTGAGGCCTCGGAGTACTTAAGAGCTTGTCAAAGGCTGCGAGGCATTTTCGATGCATTTCTGATTGGCGATCATGCCATGACTCGATTCGGCACCGCAGGCGGACTATGACTATCCGCCCGACATGCATTGTGCCTAAACACTCTAAAGCACAACTCAGATTGAACAAGCAGTCGCTTTGGCCTCGGCCTTCGCCGACACCAGGCCATGCCTTCCAAGCGCCGCAACAACGGGCGATCCAAGCACGGCCGTGGCCACACGGCCATCGTCCGCTGCTCCAACTGCGCACGCTGCGTGCCGAAGGCGCCTCCGCCCGAGCTTCCGCAGAGTCGGTCACAGGGGGTTTGCAGGCAGGTCGGCGA